TGACGGTATATCAAATGTTGATACCGGTATCTACGGTATTACCGGTTATACGGTATTTTCAGTTATAACTGATAATACCGTACTTTGGCAAATGTATTAGTATTTTCAACCTAGGATAGGACATTATGTCATTACAATTATATAAAAATAATAAATAATACAATTTATTAAATAAATGTGAGTATACGGTATTTTCAGTAGTTACCATTTACTGTGGCACGGTATTTTCGGTAACAACGGTAATTACCGATTCACGGGATACCAGTATTCTAAAATACAGGAACACCGATAATACCGCTGGGCCGCTGGCCCTAGCTTTTAATTTCAATTTCTTGTCGATAACTTGATAAATATATTAATGTGAATTATAAAATGTTAGTCGATGCGGTAACGGTGATAAAATATTGCTATCCCTCAAATAGTTACTAAAAATTATTAAACTTCTTAGTACAATATATTTTAGAATTTAGAATCATTATAAAAAAAAATCAAAACATTAAAATTATTCTATTTTTGTTACTTTTTTTTGTTATGGTTTTTCTATATCTGCATTAAGTTATATACCTAACGCTTAATGTTTCACTCTCAACTCTGGATGCAAATTCACCAAAATAATTACCCACCTAGTAAATTTCAGAACAAATTAGGTTTTTATTAACCCAAATTAATATCGTCCAACTTGAATAATCGATATAATGTGAATGTATGTCATTCACATCCATTTTAAAATCATGTTATTCTTAAGAAAATGTAGGTAGAAAATGCCTAAACACTACCTACCCACGTAACACTGTAAATTTAAGCTCAACAGTTCACATTTAGCTTCATTAGTTTTAAGGGTGTCGGTGTCGATCATTTATTAAGGAGTAACATTTAGGCAATTCAATTCACATGTTGTATCGGCTTTGTGCGGAACGTGCATGTGTGTGAGTATGTAAATCGATATTAGTGAGAGTTATCTATAATTACACTCACAGATAAAGATACTTACGCACACGCATGCACAATTAAGTGATTGACTTCGATGACTTTTATCGAAGCACTGTTTTGATGAAGAAAAATGCTTCTACAGGAAAAACTCTCACGCCTCGTTTATACGTCGGATTTTGGTCTTTTTTGTATCTGAAAGATGAGAAATATTTGCAGTCGGATCAAAGCTTGAATTTTTATTTTAAAAAGTAGTAGTAGAAAAATACGTCTGAAAAAGAACAAATATTGTGCATTATTCAAATGCATATTCTAGATTCTATAATTATAATTTTAAAAATCGGGCTTTGATCCGACCTACAAAATATTCTCTACTTTTAAATAAAAAAAAAAAATTAACGAAATTCGAATATTCTACGGTGCGTGAGAGTTTTTCCTGTAAGACATGTTTTTGTACCAAAAAACGTACCTACTCCGACCCCCTTAATATTAGAGTTAATTGACCTATTATCAAACCTTAAGGCAACAATATTATCTGTGATTTTTAAAGACATAATATGATATTTTTTTTAACCTTAATAATTTACACATTAATTACTCTTTTAAAATTTTAATATCGAAAAAAACCTCCAACAACCAACATACTTTGTTGCTGCCTCAAAGTTGATACAACCAAAGCTAATCGTGAACTGTTGAGTGTAAATTTGCTGTTATAAAGTGTTGCGCACATATAAGACAACAATTAATGCGAATAAGACGTCCTTAAAATAAGCAACTTTCGTATCGTGGTTTTTCAACAAAGGTTAGATTTAAATAGTAAATTTGAGTGTAATTTTTTCTTTTAATAGTGGTTTTCGTCCCAATCAGAATTAAACTGTTTAGCAAAAGTGCATCAATAATTAGTGTAGGAATTTATTTAATCTACAACACATGCTTAAAATACTAACACATCTATTTATATAGATGCAGTTGGTCACCATAGTAGCATACAATCCAACTCTTACTAACTTATTTTATGGACATTGTGGACCCTCTGAAACAATAAACAAAAAAAAAAATTATACCAAAAATATTAATACATGATAATTATTATAAAAAAAAAAATAACATATGATTATAAAATTGTTTTGGTCATATCTAAGTCATAACCCAAGTGATTTTAATTCAAATAAAAACAAATATATTTGTATATTATTACCTGAGCCAAAAACATCAAGTCACCACGTTGAATTTTGAACTCGATGTTCCTTCACCATAGTTGTTATCTAATAAATATGGAGTAATATATTGTGAGAATGAGAATTATTAAAATAAAATAACTTAGGTATACAATTAGGGAATTAACTAAACTAAATTATATGTTACTTAACCAAATGTAAATTATTTTATATTATTTGAGCACGAAAAATCAATGATTTAAGGTTCTTATATAGTTATATCTCGGACTTAACATATTTGTAATTTATTCTTTACCACTTGGTGCAAAATACATAACTCATAAGTTTAATATTTTTATAATAACTTCCCTTTTTAATCTTATGTATCTATGGCGTTTTTAATTTCCAACATTCAGTGTTCCTCATAGAATTAACTGACCTTACACTTTACATTTTTAAATCAAAAAAGAACAGAAGTTTCCCTGTTTTATTTTTGTCTGCGACGTTCATACAAAAGCCAATAGATAGCTCTAGAAGCGACTGTTAAGTTAAACTTGACTGCAGTATTCAGTAATAAGTAATAACATAGTTGTCATGCCATCGTACCGGATCCACAACAGTAATAGTAGCTGCTGTCACACCAGAGATGTTAGAGGAAGTCTAATAGGCATTTAAATACTGTTATCTATATCATTCGTGTGTTAATGGAAGCATAGACTGTGCTTGGTGGCTTTGACTCTCCCCTCCAAAATTACAATAATAATATATTTTTTTTAAGTTATTAATAGACTAATTTTGCGTAAGAATATTTCTTATCCCTTCCTTAAAATTCAATGACGAAGATCTATGATTGAGGTATATATAACATGTTTTGTGAGGGTATCCTCAAATTGTAACATGTGTTATATTCGTTTACCAATATACATTTAAAAATATTCAAAATCAGTTAATTATTTTTGGAACACCCTGTAATACTGCCATAAATAATGATATTAACAAAATGATTTTTTAAATAATATAATAAAAATCTTCATATTTTAACCTAAAAATAAATACCTATTGATACTAACGATACTTATATAATTGATACCATGATATCATTCCGTACTATAGTTATTACGTTATACGATATGGATATTAGATCTTAGTTAGGATTATAGAAAGTGTATTTGCTTACATTTTCGAAATTAAATTAAATAATCTAATAAGGAGTTTGCTTATCAAGTATAAAATTATCTTATACAGGGTGGTCAAGAAAAGGCGGATACATTTAAAAAGTCTGTCAAATTGTTAAATTTGGTCATATTGGGTTGAAAGTAAAAAGAATGTGTAGAGGAACATGGTAATCTTTATTTACAAAATGAAAAAAATGTTTAAGTGTGAAAAATTATTTCATTTAAATGACGACCCTCTTCGGCGATGCACTGCTCAAGACGGTCCCTGAAGTTGCCCATCACTTTCTTCACCATATCGTCCGGAATTTCGACAATTTCACGTCTAATTGACTCCTTCAATTCCTGAATGTTTCTTGGTTTGTCCACATACACTTTTGACTTTACGTAGCCCCAAAGGAAAAAGTCACAGGGAGTGATATCGGGGGAGCGCGGAGGCCAGGGAACGTCACCATGTCGGGAAATAACGCGCCCGGGGAATATTGTTTGCAAAAAAGCAATGGAAACTCTCGCGGTGTGAGCCGTGGCTCCGTCTTGTTGAAACCAGATTTTTTCTAAGCCAACTTAATTTTCTTCGAGATGAGGGATGAGAAATTCTTGGAGCATACCGAGGTAACGCTCAGAGTTGATAGTCACTGCTTCTTCTCTCTCGTTTTCGAAAAAATAGGGCCCAATTATTCCGAGTTGGGAAACTTGTCCATGACTACTATAATTACATTCCCGAGTTACAAGATAACAGTGCCAGCAACCTTGGGAGACCATGCCCTTCCCAGTTATACCAATTTCAAAAACATCCATTTTCCACTGACCACCCTATAATATCAATGATTATCCATATACATGGATTTCCCATGGTTTGGGTGTGGACGAGTGATTATAGTATATAACAAAAACTGGCCGGTGACTATCGTCACCCACCCACCATATACCAGCGGTTAGCCATGGGTTCTCAAACTGCACATGTTAACACGATAAGCAATTATTTAATTTTTTTTTTAGTTTTACATTTATGAAGATGATTGGAAATGGCCACATGAGTAATGCCGATCACCGGCCAGTTTTCGTTACGCGGACTACTCGTATAGTAATGTCCTAACGTTGTAATCGCTAGTAGTAAAGTCGTCTCGCCATCTGCCGGGACTAAATATTTTACGATACAGAAAACCGGGCAGTGAGTAATCTATAGTATTTACTATTTAGTAATATATTTAGCCAAGGTATTTATAATTAATGATAATAATATTGATAAATCTAGATTCTAGAGTCTAGTTGTATAACAGTAGAGATATTTTTTAAATTACTTCATAAGAATTCTGGCCATTTAAAAAAATAAATTTTAATCATTATAGTTTATTAAATGTTAAATAACTACACCATACCTATATAGTATATACTTTAAGTTCAAAATTGTTGGGTTTAAATATTATGTTATTATTTAACTCTATTAAATATTTAATTAGATTTTAAGTAGGTATTTGTGACATTTATTCCTTCATAATGTAATCCACAGCCGAGTTAAATCAAAAATAAAAATGCATTTGTAAATAACGTAATGAAAAATCTTACCATTACTGTCATTAAATTCGTTGCAAGTAGTCTGATGTATTCCCGTCGTTGAATTACAACTACAAATACCATATCCACTTCCAACAGTAGGAATGTCTTCATTGCTAACCACTGAGTCTTCCGGAGATTTGGATATTTCATTTGTCTCATTTGTTTCACTTATTTCAGATGAATCTAGTTCTTTATTTTTTTTTCGAATTTTAATGGATGACTATATTACAAATTAGGTTTATTATTATAGAGGCTCGAGTGTGAGAAAATTGATCCTAAGAATAGCAAGTCATTATTTCGTAAAAGTTGCATACCTTGTCTCTGCTTCCTTTCTTCTACAACCGTTCCGAGAACATAGAAAAAAAACATTTTGTTTTTATTTTATTCAACGAAACAATACATTTTCCCACTCCTGGTTTCAGCTGGTTCAGTTAATTTACCTGTAATGAAAATCGTCTATGTGGCAATTTCTTTCCACCTTTTCGTTTAGATATATGAGGGTTTTTCTTACATACAGTTTTATCCCGTAATATTCCCATTTGTACATAGACTCGACTGAGTTCCTCCTGAAACAAAATTATAATTAATTAATTTGCTTAAGTCTATTGTTACAACTATTTTTAAATGAGATGATTTAATAATGGATTTACATATTTATATTCCTACTTATTGAAGTAATTTATTTTACCATTAGTAGCTAATATTACAATACGATGAATCGCAAGAATTACATTCAAATTTTTAGAATGTCATTGTGTACCTATATGGCTGTATAAAACATAATACGTTAAAAGTTTCAAATTCCAAAGAAAAATATTATAAAAATACAATTAAATAAGTAAACTCCTTTTCGATTTGTAGGTTTAATAAAAATACTAAAAACAATTTAAAATTTCCCATGCCAAAGACACAAAATATTTTATAAATTATTCTCAATATAGAAAATGCTAATATAAATATTTGGTGAACATTTCTAGTTATTATGTTTCTAGTTCTATGGTTATTCATTTATAAATCAAAATAAAATAAGAAAATCGATTTTGTCAAAAACTGGCGTTGTGTAAAAATTCCAATAATTTGTTTTTTTTTGTTTTCCCAATTATTAAGAAAAGTATCGGAAACTTAGAAAACTTAGTAAAAAAACAAAACCACATACCCTTATTAGTAAAAGTCATGGTCAGATAGTCTTAACAATGTTTGAAAATATCAAAGTTTTAAAAAAAGTCTGGTAATAATCTTAAAAATTAAAAATATTTCCGTACTTTAAAATTCATAAATCAATATCTAATTAATATGTGAATTTATTTGAAAATATAACTGATTATAACTTGTCTTACTAAAGCTATAAGGTTCTATTTTTTAAGTATGTATTTATATTGGTCTTGTTGAAACCTAGTTTTATCGATTTTAATACCTATTTATATGTCTTAGCGTATCAACACAATGAACCAGAATGCTTTAAAAACCTGATTACAACAATTAGCATTGGGTGGATTTAAAACATAAAAATATATTTAAGTGTGAAAAAAAAATTAACACTGTAAAAGATAAAATTATCAATTATTTTTTAACTATAAATTAAATGAACAAATAAAGCTCCCTTTTTTTTGTAAATTGTCTAATAAAAAACTCTTGTTTGAAACTTTTTTTAATATTTTTAATATTTTTTAATATATTTAAAAAAGATCACACTTTTTAAATTTCATAAAAATATTTATAAAAAAAGGTCCGGTCCGATGCATGGGGGTGACTTTTAGTATGTTTCATTAAAACTTTAAAAAAAAAACGTTGATTGGGAATTTTTTTCCTATTTAGGTTACAGAATACAGATGTTGTATTAAATAATATTACAAGTAAAAATCAACGAGTTGGTGAAATGAGATCGGAAAGGTTGCGCGATAAGCAAAACCTGCACAACGTAGGCACCGTATGACGTCCGGCAGTCCACTATGTTGATTTATTGACGATGTTTGGTGCTACATGAATACATATTTATGCAATCAGTTATTTTATTTCACGAATTTAATCAAATTAACATTCAGATGGTACAGTGCAGCATATATTCAATTTAAATCTACTATTTATAATCAAATTCAATAGATAAAAAAGTGGCTCTGCTGTACAGTAGGTTACAAGTGGGTCACTGTAATGGATGGTGTTAAATTTGAATTCAATGATATAATATCATTGTATAAGAAAAACGATTCTGAGCGAAAACGGTCAGTCAGCCTATGATATTACCAAGTAAATTTGATGATATTATTGTGAATAAAGTAATTTATGTATAACCTATTTACGTGGGACCTTGTTTTAAATTTTCAATACTTAGATACAAAAGTTAAACATTTTATATATTTTTAAATACAAAATAATTATTACATTTTAAATTTGATAAATTTTGTCAAAATTCGAACTTTAAATGCTTATAAAAAAAATTGTGACTTTGTCTTTTTAACATTGTTAAACTGCTATTTTAACAATATATCAGGAGAATTGTATTACATTTTTACACTTTTTGGCCCAACAGATAAAACCTAATTGATATTTATAGAAAAAATAGAATAGAATAGAAATTTTTAGATTTTGCTATTCTAGTTATAAATTGTATTATATCATTTTAAAATAAAACTCGACTTTAGTATCATATTACATAAAGATTATCAATTGATCTTAATGGAAGATTTTAGTTTTATCTTTGAGTTTTCTACATTTATTAGCCTTTTCTAGGATATCATATCATTTCTTACATAAAAAGAATCAATTTAAATATTGCCTAAGGCTCTAGACATACAAGACAATGCCTAGTTATCATAATTGGGGATAAATATAAATTATTGTAACTTAAAAACCTTATCAATGATATTATTTTCAAATTAAAAATATCACCCTTATTTCATCCGAAGTCATTTCAGATATGTCCATTTCTCTGAAGTCCTTATCTGGTATATCAGCTTTTAATGATTCTGAAAGTTCTTGATTTATAGCGGAATGTCGGAGTTCAGCGTTAACTTCTTTTTGATACCATATCTAATAACGAAAAATATTTACATTACAAATAATAATAATATTATATTATGTAGCATTAATTATTGTTAACAATAAAAATTTATTGCATTTTAATATGAACAAATTCACGATGCATATCAAACATTTTGCATTTTTTTAAACCAACAAGATAGGTACCTGTAATATGTGTTCTACACTGATAGGCAGATACGTATTAAGCTTAATAAGTTTTTAATTGGTATATAATTTAAGGAACTATAACATTAAAAATTACTTGGTTCAAAAGTAAATATCTGTAAATGTTGTTAGGTACTGATTAAATGGAAGGTCTTTGAGAAAACAAGTAGTCAAACATTTTCATTTTCAGGAGACAATAAAAACGTGGCTTGACTTGACAGTTGACACATTTAGCAAGAAATCTTTTAAGTATTTTTTTTTAACAGTTATCGTGGGGGGCATGGTAAGAACTTCCACATGGTGCCCTTGGTAGCAGTGTTTCTGATATGAGCCACAAAATTTCAGAGACAGAAGGACATAGACCATAAATAAGAGACACAGCGCAAGCTGGGAATACAATAATGAAAATGAAGATGGCGAGAAGGTGTAGAAATGGGCAGAGGAAACTGGTCTTTCTCTTATCTTCGATGCCAAACTACCACCCTCTTTCAACAGTGGCCGCTGGAAGCGAGGGTATTACCTAGATAACATTTTCGCAAACGAGAACATTGCTACCCAATGTAAAAAAGTTTAAAAAAACTCAAATCGTCCGATCGTCACTCGAAAAAACAATAAAACAAATCCACCCCACTTTCCAGCAGTACGATATTTTTGTCGAAACAGTTAAAAAAATATCAAGGAAGCACATCTCTAGAGGCTGCCCAACGGAATATATACCAGGAATGAAGATGATCCTCACAGACAAGATGTATAATTATAGGGAAAAGTTTAGAAACCAACCTTTTGAACCAGAGAACTATTCACTAGGAGCAGAATTAATGGAAGATATCTCGAATGAAAAGAAGAATGGCAGAACACACTGGAACAAATTGGCATGAAACAAAATAGTAGCAAAGGGTGGCGAATCATTCGAAAATTAAACTGTGATGAACGATCGGAATATCATTAAACAAACATGAATTAGCTTATAAAATCCTCATAAATGGGAAAACCAAAAGGGCGAAAGGCTTACCAAGGGCTCAACAATAGAATAACTCGCAACAACCAGATAATAATTATATGGAGGACCTTTGAAGTTAGATGAGCTAGTCAACACAATTAAGTAAATTACAGACAAAACAGCAGAACCCGATAACATACCCCCCGAACAACTGAATAACTTTGGACCCACATCCAGGGAGTGGCTCCTCCAGTTCTACAATGGGTGTACAAAAACAGATGAGGATACCAAAGATCTGACATAAATCCAAAATATTTGTTATTTTGAACTGGAAAAATCACCCATTGAAGCAAAAAATTGCAGAGAAATTGCACTTTTGTGCCACTCCTAAAAGTTTATGAACTACTGATACTAAACAGAATAGTGTCTGAAGTAAATAAAAAAAATGAGAAAAGAATAGGTAGGTTTCTTATCAAATGCTGGCAAAATGAAATCAGGCAAATGCTGCACTAGGCAGGTCCTTCATCTCACACAACACATCGAGCCACCGAGGATGGTTTTGAAGATAACAAAAGAACGGGAGCCGTTTCTGAGAACTTAAGTGCCACTATTACAATAAGGTAATCAGTATTCACCGATTTTTTTCTTTGAAGATAACAAAAGAACAGGAGCCGTTTCTGAGAACTTAAGTGCCACTATTACGATAAGGTAATCAGTATTACCCAATCAGTATTCACCGATTTTTTCTTTGATAATTTTAAGTATTAAATACGAGTATTTAATGAGCACAGGTGGTATATATTGTCTACATATTGTTCCACTTACTATACCATCATCATCGTGTCCAAAATTACTCGCAGATGGATTGCCTAACTTATATACAGCTTACATATTGTTCGCGGATTGAATACTAAAGTGTACTAAAGTCAATACTTAAGTGACTAACACTAGGCACACTAGTCATAATCATTTTTAGCAGTGGCACACTTGACACTGACTTGTATATGTTTGATATATATTTTTTTTCTTTTGCTATTAGGACATTAGGCTTCATCATGTTAATACTAAAATCCAGGTTTTGATTTTACACTTTTTACATATAAGCACATTCTGTGGGAGCAAAATCGGTTCAATCTTAACCAAAATTGAGTATACTATTATATATAATATAATAGATATGATATACCATACCTTTGGTGCAAATATGATGATCAGTGCAAGAGTGTTTGTTAACAGGCTGCGTAAAAAGGCGGCTATGAATGTCACATCCTGGTGGAATGGTATTGGATAGACTGCACGGATGGCATTATGGACAGTACTAAACGTTAATTCCGCTATAATTGCGTAAAAGAGAAAACGCCGTTCTTCAAACTGCACGCGGGCATTACGTGCTGAATTTCCATAATATAAGCCCACGGTTAAAATCAATAGTTCACCTGTAGGTCAAAAAATATTTTTCATAATTAGTTCTCAATTTTTAACTTACTAATAAAAACAAATTTTTCACACTCGATCCGACGTTTTTTAACACAATTCATGTGGTCAAAAATGAGATTCGTCATAAACTCAAGATGAAAGTATAACGATCTTATGTAGATGCAGAAGTAGATCTTAAGTAGTATGATATAGTATTTTCGTGGTCATTTAGGCAGAATCTGACATTTTGATTATGTGAAAACTGTAACTTCTTTGAATATGTCCACTTTAAAAGAGATAAGACATCTATAACATTAACTATACAGTTTTTGTTTAAGTTATTAACTAATTTGATTATGTGTCCAAAATTGACTCCATAAGTAACTAATGGGCGACGACAACGCTTCATAATCACATCCATTTTTCACGCAACGAAATACAGGCCAGTGAGCAATATAATATTAATTATTTATAATCAATGATAATAATATGTTTATTTTATTATTATATATTTCATACTGTTTTAGATAATACTATATTACTCAAATACAAATCATATCCAAAATCGAAAAATAAAAAATAAATAAATGTTGGAATTCAGAAATTGGGTTCAGGACTTTATGTGTTCTGAATTCATAGTGAAAAAACTGAGTTTTAAAATGTATTAAGCATCCGAAAAGTGAAATAATTTTGTTCGGCTTTGGAATATTGTGCGTAGGTTCATACTACAGGGTAAAATATGGGTTTTATGCGTACAGCCCCTCCATAATACCTGTACACATCCATAAAGTTTAAATTTAAGTTATATTAGTATAATCGGTCTGTAACAATATTTTACTTAGTATAAAATAATATGTTACACTTTAGATGATTACCGAATTCTGTAACGTGATTCCACCATTGAGGTTTGCACGTTGTATACAATGAGCCATCTTCGGTTTCAACGTGGATCAAGAGGACCCATCCTTCATTAAAGAAGTTAAGACTAACTGCAGTCCAGGCGGTGAGGTAAACAGTTACCACAATAACACCAAACAATAAATATTTCAGCAGATCTTTGTCAGTAATTGTCCAACAGTGCGCTTTTCTAGTACGAAATTGCATCAGAATCCTATTGATATGTAAATATTAGTAAAACTGAATAAATTGATTGATATCGTACAATTACCTATACAGTTTCAGATCGATCGCGCCGTAGAATATCACAAACCCCAATTCTCGGAGCCATGGCGCTAAAAGGCATAATGGTAATGTTGGTGTAAAGTACTGGAGGATAACCTAAAAAACGAGAAAACATACATATGTTAGCTTAACAGGGACAATCTTAAAAAAATTTCTGGGGGTGTAATCTTCAAAATTGCTGACAAAGTTTTAAAATACCAAATTTTGAAATGTCAATCAATTTTACTGAGTGACGACTGAAAGTTTAATATGCTACTCTTAGTGGGATAGTTTAGGGTGTACAGATATATTATATACCTACACAACAAAAAATACTCCTCCAAACACCATGTAAAAAAAGCTAAATATAAACAAAACGGCTCTAAAAGTAAAGATATCATTTTATAGCTAGGTAGGTAAGTCTTTGGATTTTAGATATAATTTATGTTAAGATAGTCTACTAAATAATTAAACTTAGCTTGGCGAATTTAAATCAATTGATTAGGCACTAATACACTGCCTATTTTAATGATAAACCATATTATTATGTACTCATAATGATATAGTATTTTTACTTTTTTAATTGAATTCGCCATGTTAAGTTCAATTATTTAGCGGATTATTTTAACATGAATGATATTTACATTTCAAAGACCTAGCTCATAAAATGACTCCAAAACTTTTAGAGCATTTTTGTTATAGTTAGCGGTTTTTTTTTTTTTAAGGAGAGTTTTCGTTGGGATATCACTCATTTTTTGTTGATAAATTATTATTTCGTGTACATATTGGTTTTACAATGATATTTTTTATTTTATTTTTAAGCTATTTTATAACATAAGTTTATATATTTATAAATGGTTGCCATTGGTTGCAGATTATAATAGTAATAGGGTAACTTGTATAGTTATTGGCACGGGTCCAGCTATAAATTGTCATAGTAAATTTGTTTTTGTATAAATAATGTTTGATCTTAAATGCATGATCCCCACCTATTGTGGTACCTATTTTCTTTATCTATAGGTATAGTTTCACTGATACTGTTTTATTGTTAATCATTGTCTTATAGTTTTATTTATTTGATCATTTGAAATTTAATCTCGTAACATTCTAGAGAACGTAAAAATCATTTAAGAATTTAATATTTTGCATTAATTACTGTTGACTATTCAATTTGGTAATAATTAAAGCTAATAAAGCCACTACAACTTCATACTTTTAGAATTTAGATACGTACTTAATAATATATATAATCAAAATCGTATTTATCAATTATATTGTTTTAAACAGTTTTTAATTAATCTACTATTCCAACGACTGATGTGAATTAATACAAATAAGACGTATATTCAGTTGTTGGCATAGGGTAGGTACCAATAAATTAAATAGTAGGATTTTGTAATAATATCGTCATAGGCACCTAAACTAGGTATACGCTGTACATTTATTTTATTATACTTGACATACCTATTTAACATAATGTTTACTTTTTGTTTAGAAAATGCCAAAAAAATGATCTGCCTTTTTGAAGAAAATTGAATAGCAATACAAGCTGTTCATGATGGAATGTCTAAAAAAGAGACCTCAAGGTAATTTGGAGTAGCTGGACTACCATACAATTCCATATGAAGAATCCAGACAGAACGAATTATAAATATGGCTTATCCCCTATTCTAACTTAAGCTGAAGATCCTATTATTATTAAACCTATAAACAAAGATCCGTAGTCAGACACAATTTAATTTTTATTAAACATATCGATAGATAAAAACATTTTGAATGTATTGATAATATTATAGGTTAGTTGAATCATTGATTGGTACTTGGTAGCATGTGGGACTCTTATAAAAATTAGATTTTTCTTAAGGTGCCAAAACTTAATTTAGTTACCTAGTAGATAATAGTATTCATTTATTATTTTTGTTTATTGTGGCCATTGGTGTCAGTTAGTCATTGTACTGCAAGTAGCATCTTATAAAATGATGAAAATACGGTACAATAATTTTTAGTTAAATTGGCTATCACTCCGTTAGTATTATTCAAAATGATTTGAAAAATACAGCATGCACATCTACGTGATTTCCAATTAGGTGATTGTATTTTCAAATTTAATTATTTACTATGTTTTCTCAAGAATTTTTTTTCGTGAATCATGTTATTTTGTGTAATTATTATACCCAGCTAGTTTTCGCGTATTTTATTGCCTATGTCTGTATTTTAAGGCGCTCTTTTCTTTCTATACTTATCAAGGGTCACTTATACCTACCTACCGGGTCGTTGGATTAAACATTTCTAGAAAGAAAAGTAGTTTTATTATAAGATACATAATATAGGTATATTTGAAACCAATACGCCAATATAACAATAAAAATAAAATAATTTTTTTAATTAATACCGATATTATAAGGTCAAATATCGATATCTTTCTTGCATATATCAATATATGCCGTTGCCATCCCTAGGTGTGGAGTATTTTTAAAAATTGACTACTAGAGCCATTGATTCTGCCTTAGTGGCAGCCTGAGAGTAGCATTTGGGTTCTAACGAATAGAAAAAATATATCAATACATACATAAATACATAACTTAAAGATTATTACACATGATTGGATATAATTATTTTAATAGATTGTCTATGTTTAAATGTTAATATACGTAATTTAATAGCTTACTTCAATATCCAATAATATGGAGCCCATTATCATAGTTACCAATAACGTCCACATACTCAATGAAATCGTCTGTAAAGTAAACAAATTATAATTACTATTATTTGATAAGATCTTCAATATAAAGTTATTATAAAATAAAATTTCCGAAAATGTGTTAGGTACCTAACTCATATATAGTGAAATTGATCTTGGTACTTAATGATTATATTTCAAAAGTAAGAGGTAGACTGGGTACAAATATAACATAGCCAATATTTAAGTCCATGATAAGTATAAAAAAATTGAAAAAAATACACTAGTTGGTAACACTATATAGTGAATGGTATTTCCTTATCAATTTGCCGATATCATGCTTATTTTATGAGAGAAATAAAGAAAACTGATTTAAACACCGACAACTAAAAATTAACACTCGATTACTTTTGTTTCGTAGCTATCGATTTTTTTTTATTTATTTAATGTGTTTAATTACAAAGAACGATAACTTCTTTCTTCTTTCTTAGCTTAACGGTCCCTGTAGGACCTGAGCTGCCACAAGCAGTTCTCTCCATCATTCCCTGTCCAATGCCAGGTCAACTGTCACATTTCTTCCCAACATCTTGATATTTTTCTCTACCGCATCTTTCCACCTCGTTCGTGGTCTGCCTATCGGTCTTTTTTTATGTATGGTCTCCGTTAGTACATTTCTTATTATGTCATTATCAGCTCTCCATACATATCCAAACCATTCCATTCTCTTAATTTTTATATACGACGAAATATTGGGTTTTAAATATAGTCTGTATAGGTCGCCATTATTTCTTCTCTCGAAAATTCCTAACTCTGTATTATATATTGGGCCAAAAATGTTTCTAAGTACCTTTCGTTCGAATATTGCCAATCTGTTGTCATCACCTTTCGTTGAGGACCATGTCTCACATACATATGTGATTACAGGTCTCAGATAGCTTGTATAGAGAAAAGTTTTTGATTTTCTTGACAGTAACTTAGACTTTAGTAGCTTACTTATACTGTGATAGCACCGGTTCCCACTAGCTTTTCTTTCACTTATTTCTCGGTGAATATCATTTTTACTATTTATGTTCACTCCTAGGTACTTGAAGTTTTCCACTTTTTCAAAGGTTAAATTACCTACTTGTAAGTTATGTTGATTTACGTTGCTTCTAGAGAGAACCATAAATTTAGTCTTCTCTTGATTTACGCACAGCCCCATCTTTTTACTAGCTTCCAACAATTCAGATGTAGTTTGTGTAATTTCTTGTCTTGTTTTACCTAATATGATTATGTCGTATGCGTACGCTAATATCGATTCATTGCCTACTATCTCCACCTTTTGTCTTTGGATTAATTATCTTATGATCTTCTCCAAACCTTTATTAAATATTTTCGGGGACAAGGCATCGCCTTGCCATAGCTCTGAATTAATTTCGAATTCCGATGATGGCTCTCCTAGAAATTTTACTTTACACACGGTCTTGGCATTGCAGAGTTTTACCATTTCAACGTATTTCTTTGGTATACCAAAGCTAATCATGGCTTTCCATAACTCTTCTCTATGTTTACTATCGTAAGCCTGTTTGTAGTCGATGAATACCATGTATAAGTCTTTATTAAATTCATAATGTTTTTCCATTACTTGTTTGAGAATGAAAATTTGATCTGTTAAGAACGATAACTTAGTATTCTTTAATATTGAAAAGTTAGAAATCACTGTCAAGTATTATTTTTAATGTTTGATATAGTTGAATAAAACTGAAAAGGTACAAATGTAACATTTGATTGGGGTACATTTTTAACATTACATTTTTATTGAATATTTATTAATTTACTCATTGTACCTATCATAGTTATGCCAAGGATACGGAAAAAAAGATCAAACAGGGGCAACGACAATGAACTGATGAAGAGAGCTGCAAATATTTGTATACATGAGCAGAAATCAGAGCGATCAGTAGCTGAAAACCTAATTATTTGCCATGTTAGTTTGAACCGGCAGATTAAAAAGTTTAAAACTAGTGAGTTAGGTGATTCTCCACCAAAATATGGTTACAATCCACACACTATAATATTTAATATAGACCAAGAAATAATGCTGAGCAATTACTTAAAAACCTGTGCTGATATGTATTTTGGATTGAGCCCCAATGATGTTCGAAAGTTAGCATTTGAATATGCAGTAAAATTAAATTTGAAAATACCACATTATTGAACTAACAATAAGTGTGCTGGTATCGATTGGTTTAGTAATTTTTGCAAGCGTTATCCTATTTTGTCCATTCGTTAACCAGAGGCAACGAGTTTGTCTAGAGCCATGAACTTTAATCCGGTCAACTTTAAATTGTTTATGGACAAATATTCATCAGTTCTAACTAAATACAAATTTGAAGCTCACCAAGTTTACAATATAGATGAGACTGGAATTACCACTGTACAAAATCCAGGGAAAATAGTGGCACAACGAGGTAAAAAAATTGATGCAATAACGTCAACTGAACGTGGGACGTTGGTTACTATGTGCTTAGCAGTAAATGCGGTTGGTAATTTTATACCGCCTATGTTTCTTTTCCCAAGGGTCAACTATAAGGACCATTTTATAAGAGGTGGAAAGACCTCCAGGTTGTATAGGAACCTCAAATAAATCTCGCTGGATGCAGGGTTCAGTTTTTGAATTTTATTTAACATTTCACAAATCATGTACGCCCTACAGTTGAAAAAACGTCCTGATATTGTTAGACAACCATGAATCTCATCTGCATTTGCCAGTTGTTGATTATTGTAGGGCTAATGGCATAGTATTGTTAACTTGTTCACCGCACTGTTCTCACAAACTGCAACCTCTGGACAGGAGTGTATTTGGGCCTTTTAAAAAATGTATCAATCAAGAATTGGATTCTTGGATGAAAAGTAACCCAGGATAACGGTTTACCATTTATGATTTGCCAGCAGCTACCAGTAATGCTATTATAAATGCAGCTACATTAATATAATCAATGGATTTGTTGTATCAGGTATATGATATGGATTGTTGTATAAGGTAATTGACCTTTCAACAGAAATGCTTTCACTCTAGACGAATTTTCACCGACAGTTGAAACAGATATGTTAATTACCACAAATAATGATAATGATAATGAACCATCTAGTATAAGCACAAATATACTCTATACCAGTACCAACACAGAACTATGCAGTATGAATATAACAACCATACCTAATAATAATACCAACACAGAACTATTCAGTATAAATACAACCATACCTGATCCAGTACCAACACAGAACCATGTAGCATTAATACTGAGATACCCAATGTCAGTAATATTTCTCCTGATATAGTTAGACCTTATCCCAAAGCACAACTACTTTAGAAAATGACCAAACGTGGAAGATAGGAAGACTATGAGACTGCTTAACCTATCTTCCACAACCACGGAAGAGAAGCCAAACTGCAATATTAACGGATACATCAGAAAAAGATGAAATAGAAAAAAATTTCAACAACACAAATGCTAAAAAGAAGTTACTCAACATCAAAACTATGAATAAAAACAAAAAAAAAAATAAGAAGATTTCAGTTGATAAAAATAATAATGAAGAGGATAAGGATGTATCATGTATAGCTTGTGCTGAATTGTATTCAAAAAGTAAGAGCGGAGAACCGTGGATACAATGCCAAAGATGTACATTATGGTCACATAAAGCTTGTACCTCACAAAGTTGTACATTCTATGTATGTGACAACTGTGAGACTGATGATTAAATTGAATTAACGTTTTTTCTTAAGCATAGGTAGTGTGTAGGTTCCTACTGTTTATAATATTGTGATATTATGATTTTAGTATTTTTATTATTTTATTTGTTATAAAGGTTTATAATATTGTTATTAATATAATGATATCAGTAGGTATGATGAATTTTTATTATTTTATTTGTTATAAAGGTTTAAACAATTAAACTAAATAAAGTATAAGTGATTTAAAAAAAACCTTGTGTTACATTTGTACATGGCACTGTTAAGTTTGTAGCCTTACGTGGGTACAATTGTAACATTTAGTTTTTATTTTTGATGCTAATTTACTCAACAACTTTTGAAAATTAAAGATCAATACTCAAAGACATAAATGGGAACATGTTACACAACAGATTAAATATATAATCAGATAAAAAAAGTTAGAATCCTAATTGAAATAAATCATTTCATGACAGTTGTTACAATTGTACCCAGTCTCTCTATAATAAATAATTTATTTCAATACATTTTTGGGAAATCATAAATTATAGTTGATAATTTATATTATGTTATATTAATATTTTTAACATAGTTAGTAGACCATTACATAAAATATTGCATAGGTACAATATATTTTTTTAATTTTATATTTACATCTAGATTTATTGTTTATAATTTTAATATTATATGCCAATGTATTGTATAGCTGTATTCCTCTATTAATATAAAAAATTGTGCTTGGTTTAGTGAGTAATACATTTTTACTGGTTGTATTCTTTGTACTTTTAATATTTTGACATCTACACTGATAGTTTTATTTTTATATTTATATATTTCTACAGTTGATATACAGTTGACACTTATTATTACATTTTCAATATGCATTGCCCATTTCAAATGTTGATCGATTGTTACACGAAAATATTTAGTTGAGTGTACTCTTTTTAGATGCATGCAATTTATATTACAATAATCTACATTATTTTCATCAAAATCTAATAATATAATATCTTATTTTCATCATAATTTAATTTGGGGTGTTTATCTCAGATAAGGAAAGTAGGGTAAATACAGATTTATTATTGTTCAATGATAAACTGTTTTTTGAACACCATTTATTTATTATTTGCTAATCCTAGATTCATTTTACATTCAACCACATAAATTATCACTTTTAAAAAATAATAGTCATCTACAATATTTTACCAGTTGTGTTCTACATGTAATCAGACTCTTTGAATTTTCAGGTGCACTAAATTGTGTAAATTTAGTATTCAGTATATTATAAGAACCAATACTAGAAATATTATCATTGGAAACAAATTGAAATATTATACCATGTATGTACCTTAATATGTACCTACCTAGGTATATTAATATATGTATCTTATAATACTAAATAATTTTGTCTGATTTTATTTTATAACAATTTATAAGTATGTACCGTAAAATGGGGTAACTTTGATTTTTCAAATAAATTTGATAATACGTTATCATATCTTCATAGTTCATAACCAAACATGTGTGAGTTTTGGCGATTGGGTTATTGTGTTGGAAATGTTCCGTACGTAACATTTTGTTGCTAAAATATATTTTATCATATTATCTACCACCTAACCACTCAATCACAAAGTGACGAGCATTATTAAAAGAAACCCGTCTCAAATAAAACCTTAATGTGAAATTAAGAAAATCGTCGTATGTTTGAAAAGTACATATTACTATTGTATGTTTTGTAATGGTGTATAAAGCATAAACACATGATTTTTTAAGTATATTTTGTAATGATCATAATATTTTTTTATATTGCATCTAGTTAAATAGGTACATTTGTTATTAAAATAACTAAGTATCTTATTAATTTGTTTTAATAAAAGATAAGGAGAAAAAAAGATTTAAATTCAATGTCTAAAAGACATTTTTTACAGTGCATTAAAAGTAAAATAACTGAGCAGCAGAAAATATTTCTGAACTATTCGTGCAACCTCACAAACTCAACAATTTAAATAATTTTCATCAAAAGGTCTATACAGAAACAAATAATATTTATAATATTTTGCAACCTTCTGAACAATTAGTTGATTATACCAGGATAATATTTAGTAGTGACAAAAATATTAACGATAATGGTATTTCAAACATAACTAATTCTGACCATTTTGACAATGCAGAGAAAACTTCCTTAGATTTAAAACTAAATAAATGGATAATGGAATACCATATAACCCATAACTGTGTGAATGCACTTTTAGCAATATTGATATCAGAAGGCCATGATCTGCTAGAACTTTATTAAAACACATATACAACATGTTGACCTATACATCCAGGGTCATATATTCATCTTAGTGTTAAATTTATGATATCTAAGATTTTAATAATGCATCTTGATAGTTTTGATACATACATTATAATAGAATTGGGGATGACGTTGATGGCTTACCTCTCACATCAAGTTCAAAATCAAGTGTTTGGCACATACTAATTTTTTTTGTAAATGTCCAACATTTATCACAAGTTGTAATCCCTGTTGGGTTGTATCATGGTAAGTATAAAAAACATACTTCAAGATATGAATATTTAACTCAATTTATAAGTGAAATGAAAAAAATTTTATCTTAATATGGTTTAACGATGAATCATAAAATACTAAAATTTAAGATTGATTAAATCAATGACGCTACTGTTGCAGTAGTTGTAGTACATGTACCTAAATAGTAACCACGTGGTGGGAGGGGATTAGACCTCGACAAGACGGAGTGCTTTCATTTGGATGCGAGAGTGAGTTAAGTTCTCTCGGCGAACTCCGTATACTGCCTTAGCTATAAAGCTTTACACGACGGTGTCAATACAGAAAGTATCAAACGAATAATGCAAATATAATAGCCTGGGTATGTTTGAATGAAAAAAAGAAGAAAAATGCAAAAGATGACGAAAAACAAAAGGTAACAGAATTTACTATTCATCAATTTAAATATGACTCAGCAAAAATGAGGTAAAAATTATATAATATTGTAAAACAACGCATACGGGATTCAACATATTCCAACATTCAAATTGTTGAGAAGAGTAGGTACACCATTCATATATTATTGATTAGATTGATTTACCGAAATTCCAGTTCACTCCTCTGTAAAAGCAATATTAAATCGTATACAAAGAAAATCGCTTAGAAATTCATTGGATCCTAAATTTAGGGAAGATATTATACCTAGTGATTCCGAATTCCTATTATTTGATGACGAAAAATAAAATGAATTATAGGGTTATGTTCAATTAAAATTGTTAAATTGCTTCTGAAAGAAAGACTTGTTTTGTGTATCGCACATTTAATAGCTGTAGGTAGTAAACAATTATATTAAGTTTAAACTATTCACATTGATATTGGTTCTACTAACGACAAAATCAATGTAATTACCGTGATTTATTTTACTTCCAAATAAAACAAAACTAGTTTACTAGCGTTCATTTTCGATGGTTACAACACTCATTCCAAATTGTAATCCCGAATCATTTACATTAGACTTCTAAATCTCGATTAGGTATTCAATCGATTAAATAATATAAATATTCCTTAGTGCTGAAATATATGGTTGAAACTTTCATTTTAATCATTCGCTTTGGAGAAAAGTTCAAAAGTTCAAAATATTGGTTTAGTTAGTAATTATAAAGATGATTCAGCTACAAATATTCGATACACTTGAGAATGTGTTATGCCTTGGTAAAATCCAAAAATCATAGTAATTAACTTTGAAATAGCGATTCATTTTGCTGTAAAATGAGTAGGTTTGGGCTAATTGTGCCAACAAGTTTGCAGATTTCATTTAGTTCATTCATCTACTCAGATTGGGAAACGGCCTAAAAATGTTTCTAAAAATGTTGAATGTATAATAATAATTTTACCATAGCAGATAGAAATCACGCCTTTTTTAAATCATTGGAAACGGTAATTTCAAATTTTTGTGAAAGCGGTTTATGTCCCTAGTGGCGACTGGTAAGCTCTTTTTTTTTTGTCTTAATTAATGCGACACACTATTTTAAAGCATAATACCAATATATAGTGCAAAAAATCATAACTAAAGAACTTTTGTCGAGCTTCGATCTATTTTTAATCGTAGGTATAACATAATATTAGAAGTAAACGATAATTCTCATCGTTGGTATGTAAGAGCACAGTCCTAAAAGCTAAAGACCCACTGGCTAGAGTCTGTATGAAACTCGGTATCGCTGGCCTCCGAATCGTAGGTCCGCAACCGATATACTTTGTTTCAATTTACTTATAGCAGTCTTCTGATTATGTCCTATTTGAAAAAGTGTATGATGTAGCGTCAATAAATATAGCTAGTGAGACCTAGCTAGTACGCTCTGTACAGCTTCAACTGTTTTATATAGAGAAAACATCAGATGTTTTACACAGATTCTATTCGCTATGATTTTTGACTCTGACGGACTGAGCTCATTATGACGAATTCAATAGGTACTTGATTGAAACCTTCAGAACTGACGTTTCTACAATTTAATGTCCAACCTATTTTCAGCTACTGTCTGTACCAATAGGGTTTGTAGTCTCAAGGGGCCCTCATCAATGTTTTCAATGTCCCTCACCAAGACAGTCAGATAATCCATGTAAGCTTATAAAACATATTATAAAGCTTATAGGTAACCCAGCCAGTGGCGGTTTTGACATGTAATTTTACATGGGGCAGAAAAGTATTAAATAGTAAATACACTATTATACAGGAACAAAATATGTTAATTTATTCCTTAAATCGAACAACAAACTAAAAACCACGGTCTTAGAAGACATCTTCTAAGACCGTGCTAAAATATCATGTGCGTACACGAAAAAAAATTATAACCAAAAAATTTTAGGAAGAATTATTATGGTTAAAACAAACACATTTTAGTTGCAGTTACTACATTTTTACCAAATACATAAGTAAAATTAACCAACTATGATTAGTTAAAATATTTTATTTTATTTAACTATAAAATATAGTCAAAAATATTTTACCAGAAAGTGGTTAATACAACCATAAAATATAGTAATGATTGTTCTCAAATATAAATATTATCGTTATCATTAATATTATTCTGGGTTTTCCCAATGCGTCGGCGGCTTTGTGATCGACGGAACGATATTCGAACGACATTCGACTTCGACTAACAATTTTGACAATTTATTGCGTTCATTGCAAGCTGCGTTATTGCCGTTATTACTTATTTGTCAAGTACTGAAGTACCTACCAGCTACCCAGTGGCGCCGAACACGGGTATGAACTGGGGAAAATTCCCCAGAACTATTGGATAACCTTTGGGTGGGTCAGGTGGGTGGGTGGGTAATAATAAGTGATCAGTGATCAGTGATATTTATATTTAAATATCATCATAGTACAATAATGGTAAGTATAAAGAATAGATAGGTAAATAGGTAATAAGTAATAATACTTTAATAGTAACTACTAGCTATATAAGTACTATTGTACTAATAGTAGGTATAATAGTATAATAGCAGGTCGACAAGCAGTAGGTATACGTATATCGCTATTGACGCTATTATAATGCAATCGTATATTCGTATACTCGTGTAGTCGTGTCACTCGTGTATATGCCAGTTGCCAGTAGGTAGTGAAGATAATACGAAAATGTTGTTTTGTTTTCGTCAGATCACGGTCTTAGATTATTAGGTCTGGCAACTTGATAATGAAATCCGTGTTCTTAATGACCGGACAGAGAATAGTCATGTACACGTGTCACTATCTAGCGGATTAATGTTTTTCATTATTATTTAATAACGGAAACCACGGTCTCAGGTGCAGCTGTTTTACTGATTAATAAATAGCAGGTACTACATTTCGACTTTCGAGTGTAATTACACCTATACACTCATCTAGTCAGGGCAGGCACGAATACAGGGGGGTTTTGGGGGTTCAAACCCCCCAGAAAATTAATAGTTGTGTAGTTTATTTATATATATAGATTAATAACCCCCCGAAATCTAATATGAACCTCAATCGAATTTTATTTTTGTGTACGTGTGTACTAAGTCAAGGGTGGCTCCAGAGACATGGTTGGTGAGGGTGGGGGTTCATAATTTTTGGAAAACATTTGATATTATAATATGTTTTTTTTTGTAATTATTTTTAAAATATGTATACATTTTTTTAGAAATATGGGCATGGGAGGGGGCCCATGTGTTTAGGACTTATGTCTGGAAAATGCTAATATAAATATTTTAAGAAAAATGTACGTCTATAATTATGATTATATACTAGAATCAAGAATTACGAAAATAAGATAGTTGATTTTGTTGAAATCTTGTTTTTCGTAAAAATTACCGTTTTCCCGATTTTGTGAAGTACCTAGGTACTGTAAATTTTCCGAATACCTACAAATAAAAGTACAAAGCTACCAGAAATATTCATTAAAGTTAAAGATTCAAGCATTTTTTCATCTATAAAACGTGTATACAAACACAGAAAGAAAAACATTGTAAATCCAATACATTCATCTCCCCGCCTAAATCTAATACATAAACAAAAATTGCGCCAAAATGTATAAAAAAAAAAGTATATTGTTATGTAATTTAATGAGCGTTTTTAATTGAAAACACTTTTAGTAGTTTATAACTTTGTACCTCATCATGCCAAAAAAGTGTGCTATATGTCATAAAGGAACAGAAGGAGTTCCAACTTTTATAGTTACTCTTAAGCGGAAAGAGAATTGGGAATTTGTAGTTCCGATTCCATTATTTGTTGGTGATCGAATATGTCAAACACATTTTCCCAAATCTTTTTTAATAAAAGAAAATAATAATAATAATTTCATTAAGTTTCACAAAACATTCGTACATTATATCTATTATTAAAGATATAATTAATATTACACTTACCAATACTAAGTATTCAAAATGTTTAACAAAATGTATTATGTAAGTCATTGTGTTCATTATTATTATTTATTATTATTATATATAAAATAAAAACTCAAAAGTTGTTTGTTGTTATAGAATTTGCTACTTTAGTCCACGTCCTATAACCATACAAAGGCTGAAAGGCCTAATTTTAAGAAAAAAAAAGAATGCCCATAAGTTGTATTATTTAATATTTATCATAACATGAGATATCATTGACATTAAACTTATAGATCACCATACGTCGTTGATAGATGGCAGTACTAGTATTTATGAGTTCCCTGTCCCGTCAATAAGAGCACGGATTATTATATGTTAATCTCATCGAGTTGCATAGGGCTGCGTCAGATCATCAGAATTACGTTTATGTCATTATAAACACGATACGAGCTTCAAGACGCTTCGAGTTACTAGTTAGAGTGGACTGAGTGGTGGGTAGTTGGTGAAATAAACCAATAATGATTACGGATTCGCAGTTTATTTATAAACTGCCAAAACACCAATAACAGTAATAACACGTTAATACCCAAGATACAGATAATGGATTACTGATATGGACTAAAATTGTATTTAAAACTAATTGTGTAATAACTTTAGACCGTGCCCAATGGAACACATTGGGATAATGGAATAATATTGTCTTAAGAGGACGTATAACCGGCGTTTTCAGTATCAATAACATTCTCGCCTAGATTCCAAATAAATCAGTCTAGGAGAGTTTAAGGACAACAACACCTATGAACAAAATTAAAGATAACTATATTGTTGAGGGCTCCACGTAGCCTTTTTTCAAAATCTTAATTTTATGAAAAGTTATAGTCATCTGAAAATGCTGAAAAAATCGGAACTTCTTAACGTTATATTGAGCTATATATTTTGAATACAGAAAAATGGCTACGTGGGGCCCTCAACAATATAGTTATCTTTAATTTTGTTCATAGGTGTTTTTATCCTAAAACTATTCTTGTGTGTGTAACTTTGAATCTAATGAGCTTATCTTTGAGCATGTTTACACGGTGTAAATCGGTAATTTTTCCCGTCTAGTGCTGCTCCTTGCGGGACTGTAATTTCCAACGTCGGTCTTTGGTGGTTATGCGTTGGCGGTGTGGTGGTGGCGCGGTGGCCACTCACACGTCTTACAAGTTCAATACAACTTGTCCGAGTGATAAAAATAGCACCGCCAGAATTATAAGTGACAACCGCATGCACGGTCCCGCATGCATTTTTCAATATTATAATATTTATTACACTACACAATCACAATGTATATTACGAAAAACAATAATTATGATTTATGACGTCATATTATTACAATAGATTAAAGAGCTATTGTTGTTATTATAATATTTACTTATAGAACAATCCAACAACGTTAGAATTTAGACTAGTTTTCACTCTTATTTTATAGTATTTGACTAGCCGATAACACTTGGTAGTTGGTACTACATGCGGTATACTGCATTATACATAAATGTCATAGAAGTCTTTACTGTTTTGTTCATATTTTGTTCGTAATTATGGCTAATAAAAAAAACCAAAAAAGATATACCGGCAAAAAAAGGCTAAGTGGCAGTGCACTTGTACATCGACGTTACAATAAAACTAACAAGTAAGTTCGTGTATTCCTAATTATTTTATTTTTTCAAGTAATTTTTATGGTTACAATATTTATAATATATTATTATATTTTATTAGGTAGGTACTTATTAAATTTATAAATAACGTAAACTTAGATAGTATTTTATTTTACCTATAATTTTAAGTGTTATTGTATAAATATTTAGATCAAAACAATTTATCTTGGAAGACACTTCTAATAATGTATTATCGAAATCTGGTAATTTAATTGACAATCAACCAAGTACATCAACATGCTCATACATTCACTCATCGCCATTGTAAGTAATCATGTATTATTATATGTGTATTACGTGTATTACTGTAAAAGTATATTTTCATGCATTTAAATTTGCGAAATTAATTATTTTAGACTTTTCTAAATGTTTTGTGCAGGGTAAACTTATTAGTAAATGATACTTCTATGACTGGCATTAGTTATTTAAGTCCGATTGAAAATGTATTGTTAAAAGAGGATAATAATTTAGATATTATGGAATCTCATAAATTAGCTGTTGATACAGAAGCAGAAGATTTATGTAACGAAAATGTATTGTGTGAAGATATCAATTTAGAATCAATTATAGAATCTCATAAATTAGCCGTTGATACTGATACAGAAACTGAAAATTTATATAACACGTACCTATGTTTTATTTTTATATTTTACATTTTAATTCTCTGTTTTTAAAAATATTTTCACCTGTTGACTTATGTATGTAAATTTTAAAGTGAAACACACAATGAAATATCTGGGAATAGAATTGTTGATATATCTTATGTATTCAATCAAATTCAGAATAATAATCACAATGGTGGATTCGGATGTAATTTTATGAATATGGATTTTTTATATGAGATTCGTTTAGGATTTTATTCTGAATATTGGTTTAATTGTAAAATGTGTAACATAAAACAAAAAATAAAATCCGTGAAAAATTCACCTACAACTGACTGGTCAATTAATAAATCTGTAGTCAACAGTTCAATAGCTATCGGTGAGTATGGTAAAATATTAAAATATAAACTACTTCAGAAACTTTGTTTTACATTTTCAATCATAAGCTGTTAAAATTGAACATATTTTAATGTTTATGATTTTGATGAATTACCTATGTCAAAATTGGGATCTTAATAATGCTAATAAATGAAATAATTTTTTTAAACTGCTATTTCAACAATTTATGCAAGGAACTTTGTATAATTCAATCGTTTTGACGAGTTGTATACAAATGTATACATCAAACGCTCATAAAAAAATATTTACGGAATATCGTTTGACGTTCAACATAAAATAACTTACACATTTTTGCAATTTTGACAAATTCGTAAAAATGTGAACTTTAATAAATTTAAATACCTACTACCTAGTTATAAAGAAATTAAATAAATTAGTTTTCAAAAGTGTCAGAAAAAACTCCAAAAAGAATCGGAAAAACGGGAATATTTATGCAATACCAGCTTTTGACAAAAATTTAATTTTTATATTTTGCGTTACTCAAAAACGAATTGTGGTAAATACTTTAATTTTAGATTCTGAGTGAAACGATGAATGTATTGATTTTACAATGATGTGTGTTTTTTTATTTTTTTTATTTTTTTTTATTTTTGTGTCTGTGTACACGATAAGTAGTCGAAATAATGCTTCGATTTTCGACTTCAGTAGCTTTTCTGATAGGAAAGTGAATATCGTTGGTGCATTGGGGAGGTCAAAATTTAAAATTCCCAATAGTTTTCACAAGCTCCGGGAAAAACAACATAAAAATTAAGGAAAAACGGGAATTTTTACGCAAAATCGATTTTGAGAAAATCAAATTTGGGTTTTGGTGTAACTTTAAAACAAATGACCGTAGATACATGAAATTTTGACTGGTTGTTTATATTTGCATTTTCTATACACTATAACATTTTCAAAATATTTCGACTCTTTTTGAGCAGTTTACTGAAATTTTCAGTTTTCAATTTTTTTAGTTTTTTTTTTTATAAATATCAATAAAGTTTTATCTGTTGGGCCAAAAAGTGTAAAAATTTAATACAAGGTTCCTGATATATTGTTACAATATCAGTTGAAAACTATTAAAAATACATAGGCAAAATTATCAATCATTGTAATTAATAAATTACAAAATGTTCAGTTTTTATAGCTAAGGATTGAAAATTTAAAACAAGATTACATATAAGTAGATAATTCTGTTTCCAAAAAATCTAAAAAATACACTAGCACAGTTTATTTTTATGGTCATTTTAAGTTCAAATTTGGACAAAATTACATATTAAAAATCTAGAATAACTATTTTAGTTATTTTCTTGTGATTGTATAATATTATTCATGGGTACATGAAACTTCTAAAGTGTACTATTATATATCTATGATAGTATCAGGGTTTGTTGTTGATGTATAACGCGTTATAAGTACTTAATGGATATTGTGATAAGATTAATTTGGAATTTATTATAGGTACCTATGATAGGTCATTTTTTTTTACCAATTTCTAATACCATAGATACGTATGTCATATGTTTTAAACCTAGACTCACATACCGTCTTCACTCAGAATCGTTTTTCTTATACAATGATATTATATCATTGAATTAAAATTTAATACTATCCATTATACAGTGACCCACATGTAACCTACTGTACAGCAGAGCGACATCCACTTACCCACCTTTCTTTATTTGTGTGTGTATACGATAAGTAGTTGAAATAATGCTTCAATTCTCAACTTCAGTATCTTGTTCGATATGAAATTGAATCTAGTTAGTACATTGGGGAGGTCAAAATTCCCAGTAATTAATAGTCACACATTTTTTTATAAGTATTTAAAATTGAAATTTTGGCTAAATTTATCAAATCATAATTTTAAAATTATTTTGTAGTTAAAAATTTAATATAACATCTTGTGATAGGTATTGGCTATACTCAGGTAAATGAATTTTGTGCTGGAATAGAAATACCATCAATGGCTCCTAACTCATATATTAGTATTGAAAACATTTTACAAAAAGAAATCAAAAATACAGCTTGGGCAGAAATGCAAAAAGCCGGTGAAGAAGAAAAAAAAATAGCTTTGGATTTAGGTAATGTTGATACAGATGGCGTCCCTCTAATAACCGTTGTAGCTGATGGGCAGTGGTCTAAAAGAAGCTACAAAACAAAATATGACGCTTTTTCTGGAGTAGTAAGTAATTATCACCATAATATAATTTTATTTAGAATAAAATTAAACATTTTCAGGCAAGTATAATAGGCTTCCAAACTAAAAAAATCCTATTTGTTGGTGTACGCAATCGTTATTGTGTAATATGTGAGAGAGCAATAAATAAAAACACTACAACACCAGATCATGTTTGTTTTTTAAATTGGAAACAAGGAGCTACTAGCATAGAAGCCGATGCTATAGCAGAAGGGTTTAAAAACAGTATAGAGATGCACGGTGTAAAATTCTCTAAATTAATTGGTAAGAAATTATAGAAATAAAAATATAAAAAACTAACCACGATCAACCTTTAAAATGGAATCATCAAAAACAATATTTAAATAATTTTAATATTAATATATACTAGGTGATGGAGACAGTAGTGTCACAAAAAGATTACACGAAATACTTCCCTATGGACAAATGTTAAGAGTTGAAAAAATAGAATGCAGAAATCATTTATTGCGCAACTATTCACAAAAAATGATGTCCTTGACTAAAAGAACCGAATTTCCAACTGAAATCCGAAAAAAAATATCAAACAACATAATAAGGATGCGAACAGATATAACTTGTGCTATTAAATTTAGAAAAGCTGAAGACAAGCCTTTACATCAAAAAATTGCTGGTACAACTTTAATATTAGTTAAAAGCTTATCAATGCTAATTTTTACGCAAAACCAGTTTTCGACCAAATCGATTATTTTATATGGTTGTAAGTTTGTAACTCAAAAACTAATCACTGTAAATACTTGAAATTTTCACCAAATGTTAATATAAGTGCCAACAATACACACTTACCTTTTCAAATATTTGAATTATTTTTTGAGATATTTATAGACAACTGTATTTTCGATTTTTCTGATAATTTATTTTTTGAAGTGTCGATAAAATTTTTTTGGCAGAGTCAATATACTTGAAAATTTATTACAAAGTTTCTCATAAGTTATTCTTATAGTGATTAAAAAATTATAAGAACACATAGGCACGATTTTTTTTTTATTAACATTTGAAGTTCAAATATTGATAAAGATTCGTCAAAATCATCTCCGTTCAGAATCGCTTTCGTATGCAATAATACCTATCATTAAATTCAAATTTAACACTTCTATAATATATAATAGTGATCCATACGGCACCTAATGTACAGCAGAGCGATACCCACTTACCCGCTTTTTTTTAAATGTTATTTTATCCCGAGTTTTAACTATGTAAGTAAAATATTTTCAAAAACGTTATAGTAATTTTCGGTTTTTGAAAAAATGAGTGTACTCACTTGAATGGATCACCTTGTGTAATAAATTAATTTATCAAACATATTACGTTGCTCTGTTCTAGGCCTCAAATTTGATATTGCTAATGCTCCTAATCATCGAATATTTGATATTCATGAAAACTGCTCATCATATTTTTGTGATAAAAAGTCAATACAATCAAATAATAAAATAAAAAACCAGGACATTTCTCGGGAAATTGAAATAGTTGTGTCTCGTTTATCTAACAATGCCAAGAGCTTACTATTAGATGTAGACAATAATATATGTGAACAATTCAACAGCGTTATCAATAAATTCTTAGGAGGAAAAAGAATTAATTTTACACAAAAAAGTTCTTATAGTACCCGTGTTTATGCTGCTGTTGTCAGTTTTAATTCCTCGGAATATTTGAAAACAGTACGAAAAAACATAACACAAATGAGTCCAGGTATTATTTTTATTTAACGATAGTAAATAATGCTTATAATAATTATAACACAACAAATAATTAAATGACTTTTAGGAGTCGTCGGTAAAAAATTTTTAAAAAGAGCATTAGAAAAAAGATATACATGTCAAAAAAAAAGAAAAGTTTTGTCAAATAAAAAGTCAAATCTAAAACCTAAACGATTGAATTTTAGTAAAAAAGCTGACGAGAATTATGGAAATGCAGACAAATTAGACATTCTAAAAGACATAAAATGTATAGAGTTTGTGAATGAAATGAATCAATTTGTCAAGTAATATTATTAAATATCTCATTATTATATACAATTTAGATTTACACATTCACAAATAAAAATATTTAGACACCTATAATTTAACATTTAATTCACATTGTCTTTTAGAAAACTAGGGGAAGTTGATCGTATTAAAATTGAACGAGAGACTAGAGATCAAGCTGATAATGATATTTGGAAACGAGAAAGACTTTGCAGACTTACAGCTAGTAATTTCGGTCGTATTTGTAAGATGCGTGCAAATACTAGCTGTAAAAGTACAGTTTATTCAATTTTATATTCCAGTTTTACCTCTAAGTAAGAACATGTCTAAACATGAATTAATTATAATTTTTGAGCATTTTTAAATAATAAAAATAATAAAAAAATAAGGTCAGTTCAGTATGGCAGAGATATGGAAGGGGTTGCTAAAATGAAATTTGAAGAAATTTATGCAGGAATTCAGATTAAACCTTGTGGTTTATTTATAGACACAGAATTTTCATTCCTAGCTGCAAGTCCCGGTTCGTAATATATCATATAAATTATTTAAATGTTTACTTATAAAATATGTATAAATGTACAATACTATATTGTATGATTGCATAATGTAGATGGAATAATTGACGAAAAAACCATAGTAGAAATTAAAGCTCCATACTCAGCCAAAAACAGCCAAAATGCAATTGAGGCTGTCGAGAGTGGTAAAGTATGTCAGATACCAATATAAATATCATACATCATTCAGCTGTTTATAAATACAACTATAAATGTCATTATAATTTTGTTTAGTTACCTTACTGTAAAATTGAGAACGGACAATTAAAATTAAAAAATAATCACAACTACTTTTATCAAGTGCAAGGTCAACTTCACATTTCAAAAAGAGAAGTATGTTATTTTATTATATATTCTCCTCAGTGGATATCGGTTGAGAAAATAAAGTATGAAAATAATTTTTGGATTACGAAAATGAAAGACAAATTAAAAACGTGAGAATATTAAATTTTTAAGCTAGATACCTAATTTATTTTTAATTGTATATTACATAACATTTACATTATTTTATGTAGATTTTATTTGGATTGTTTGCTTCCGGAGATTGTAGATCCAGCTTATAAATATCGCTTGATGGTTTCAGATATTAGGGAATCAAACAAAGTGGAAGTATTAAAAAATAAAATTAATACGTAATATGATACCTAACCATTTTTGTTATTATTTATTTTCATCTTTCATATTTATTGTAAAATATATTGTTAATACTTCATTATATCTTTAAATTACAATGTTACGGTTTCAATCTGCATGTTTTTTATTTCGTTTAAATGTATTCTGGTTTCTCATACAATAGTAAATATAGCAATATTACAACATGAATTATTTAAAATGAATAATTCTATAAATAATGGTCAAGGTAGTGTTAAAAAGGAAGATTCTAGTATGTACAGCTCTTATTACGTCCTTAGTATTTTTTGCAACACATGCAGCTATGTAATGTTATTATTCCAAAACAATTGGAAAATTATAGGATTATAGTATTCTATTTTATTATATTTGAATAAGTAATAATGCAATAAATAAAAATCAAGTTATGTTATAATCCAGTTTCTACTATCTATTTATTGGTAAATAAATTTAGGTAAGCAGTGTCTTACATTTTAACCGTTGGTGCATGGTTACGCGCGGGTATTCAAAATATTATGGCGGCATTTACGTATATGTATTGTATAATGATGCGAACTGCATTAGACGAACGTTCATAAAATAATAAACGTCGCTCCCGTAGTCAGTCCGTACCAACACCGTCAGGCCGACTGCGAATAGTGGGCGTGACCTAAACGCCGCGCGCTTGCGGATCGCGAAAACACCTAACAGCGCATCCTCTCGGTCGTTGCATGCGTACACGTTTCGGTGATACGTCCTCTTAATAGAACTATGAACCTACACTGGCTACACTAGTACACTACCACAGTACCGTTTATACAAGTTTACGATTGTTCTCTGTTAGTTCTGGTCTATCGTATAATGTAATTACTGTAATTTTATTATATTATATTAATATAATAAAGTATTAAAGCTAATACAGTAATACCTACCTATTACCAATAATCATTTTTGTAAATTGTAATCAATCATGTCTAGTGTAAGTTAAGTGTGCATTTGTGGTAAAAAAGAGGAACTTTGAATGATACTAATTGGGCAAGGCACACAAAAACGTGCAAAATAGTAATAACTGTAAAAACAAACGAAAATATTTCCAAGTTCAACTGAATTGTCTGAATTAATTGTAAAAAAACACGATCTGGCAAGTATATTAACTATCAATTATAATAATTAATAACTACTAACTATTAGTTTATATTATAAGTAATATATGTAGTAATATGGCCTCTTTAGGTTTAGGTACTTAGTGTCTTAATATTTTTTAATACTAAGTAAATTTCTCTACAGTTATAATATAACTAATAATTTAATGTGGTGTTAAATAGAGCAAACATTAAGTACTCCCAAAGAAAATGATGACTTTAATGAAGAGCAGTTACCTGTTGTTTCCAAATTAAAAGGTAAATTTAAATTATTTTTTTGTCAGATGACTACTATAATATTATATTCTTGTAATTCCTTTAGTATAATAATTTAGTACACAGAAAATAAAAATATTAAAAATACTTAAATATTTACATTAATATTATGTATACGAGTATAAGTAGTATTTTTATTTGTAAATTTTTCTACAGTTTTAATATAACTAATAATTTAATGTGGGGTTAAATAGAGCAAACATTAAGTACTCCCAAAGAAAATGATGACTTTAATGAAGAGCAGTTACCTGTTGTTTCCAAATTAAAAGGTAAATTTAAATTATTTTTTTGTCAGATGACTACTATAATATTATATTCTTGTAATTCCTTTAATATAATAATTTAGTACACAGAAAATAAAAATATTAAAAATACTTAAATATTTACATTAATATTATGTATATAAGTAGTATTTTTATTTGTAAATTTTTCTACACATTGTTATAAATTAATTTATGACTATTTAACTATTTATAAATATATATAGATACTAAATTTTTTACAGGCTTGTATGAAAATTTAAATGAAAATGATCCTGTAAGATTTTCTGATATGAACAAGAAATTTACATTTGAACAAAAGCAGTATATTTTAAAATTAGGACCTTGCCAACCAAGTGCTCAAGAGATGCCTTTCCATAAATTTCCAAAAACCAATAACCTTAGTTTTCATGCCAAATGGTATACCAAAACATTACCCGATGGATCTGTAGGAACTCGTAAATGGTTGTCATATTCTATATCAAAAGACAAAATATATTGCTTATAGTGTATATTATTTGGGAAATATCCTAAAAAAGCATGGACTAATTATGGTGTTTCTCGCTGGAAAGATGGAGTCTTTATGTTAGCTTCACACGAAACTTCAGTAATACACATTGCCGCTTCAATTGATGCAACAATTCAGGAACAGTGTTCCCCGTTGTTACCAGCATTGAAAGAGAAAAAAAAAATTGAAGTTCAAACCAATAGGATTATTGTAAAACAACTCGTGGACATAACATTATTTTTAGGAAAACATAGATTATCATTTAGAGGACACAACGAAAAATGGTCTGATGCTGTTAGAGGAAACTTCAAAGATCTCGTTATTTTGCTAGCCGAGTATTCGCCAGTTTTGTCCTCTTATATAACCCAATTAAAAGAAAAAGGAAAACATATGACATCTTTTATTACTTGGCAACGACAGAACCAACTAATTGATTCAATCTCAAATTCAATTTTAAAATCAATTGTACAAGAAGTGAATACTGCTAGAATATTTAGTATATCAATAGATACAACATTCGATATATCAAGGCATGAACAAGTATCTTTTGTAATTCGATATACCGATGAAAGCAAAGGTAAAATTGTTGAACGTTTACTTATGATCTGTACTACTTCATCCACTAATAGTCAGACCCTTTATAGTATTTTTCTTAATATTTTTGAGAAAACCAATATTGATTGGAAAAATAATTTGATAGGTCAATCCTATGACGGCGCAGCTAATATGCGAGGCGAATACAACGGTCTACAAGCAAAAATTAAAAGTGAAAATAATCAAGCTTTTTATATCTGGTGTTGGGCACATCGTTTTAATTTAATTGTTGAACAAGGTGTTAAAAGCTGTCTTGAAGCTGTTGATTTTTTTGGGATTTTGGCCAAAGTATATGGTTTTATATGTAGTAGCAAAAATCGTGTATTTGTTTTTGAACAAAATCAAAAAGAACGTAATCCTACATGGCCAGTTCGTAGTTTGAAGCGTGTTACTACTACACGATGGAGTAGTCACTCTACAGCATTAAATACAATTTTAATCACATGGGAAGCTTTAATTGATACACTTGAAGATCTTCATAAATCTGAATCTTCATCTGACGCATCAACATTTATTGAATATTTTCAGACTGAACGATTTTTGTACACTTGTTTTGTATTTAAAAGAATATTTGGTTTATTAGATCCATTAAGTAAAATACTTCAAGCTATAGATACAGATCTTATCATAGCGTCAGAAATGATTATATCTAAGAAAAATCAGTTGTTGAAACTGCGAGATGAATTTGATTCAATTATTTTTGAGGTAAACAAATTTATTGAGGTTCACAGTGAAGAAAATTTCACTTTTACTCCTTTATCCCAAAAACGTCATAGGAAGAGAAAACGTATGCCGGGTGAACAAGCATCGGATGAGCCAACAACTGATCCTCTTAATAATTTTAAGTATCACACATTTTATATTGTAATTGACATTATAAGTAATGAGATTGACAAGAAATTTAGTGAATCATCATTATCAGTTTTTAAAGATTTATCACTTATAACAAAAAAAAGAATTTTAGAAATAAAAACTGATAAACATAAAATGCCAAATGATGCATTTGAAAGTATATCTTTAATTTATCCAAACTTTTTAAATGCTGAATTATTAAAAACTGAATTCATGTGGCTTGTAAATTGTTTTTCTGATTTAGAAAAAACTTATCATTTACCTGAAAGCCTTCATAAGACTTATCTAATATCTGATGATGGCGACAATAATGATGTTGAATCTAGTTCTGGAGATGAAGAAGAATCTATAATATTACCTAGAAACTCTATGAATATTAGCTCACTATTATATATATTTCAGTTGTTTACTGATTCAAGTATAAAAGATGTATTACCAAATATTTATATGTTAATTAAAATTGGAGTCACATTGCCAGTTTCAAGTGCTTCTACAGAACGAAGTTTTTCAAAATTAAAACTAATTAAAACAAGATTACGTTCGACAATGGCAGAGCCAAGATTAGAAGGATTGATGCGCATAGCATGTGAACAAGATATACCAATAGACAAAGAAAATGTAATAAATACATTTGCAAATAACAGTAATCAATTAATGAATTTGTTAATTTAGAATTTATATGATACTAGCAGACCCGGCGAACTCCGTTTCGCAACCAGATTCGTTTTATGTTTTTTTTCGTTTGGTGATTAAAATATAAAGAAAAAAAATTTTTTTGTTATATATTTGAAAAGGAAAATATTTATTTCATTTCACAACAGTAATAAATTCATTTCAATTACCTACTAAAATGAAGTGTTATTTAATTGTTTCATTGTAGTGCTCTTTGGTAAACCACATTTTTTGTTTTTTGGTTTGACGTTAACACAAACAAAGCGGATGGTTTCCCAACTCGTGAACACGCAACGTATAACTGTCCATGTGAAAAACAATGATTTTCCAAATTTATCCCGCAAACACTAAGCGATTGGCCTTGCGACTTATTAATTGTCATTGCGAACGCAAGGCGAACTGGGAATTGCAATCGTTTGAAGTCAAACGGAAGATCAGTCGGAATCATTGGTATTCGAGGAATACATACATTTTCACCTGCGTACTTTCCGTTAATAATGGTTGCCTCAATTAAATTCGGCATAAGTCTCTTTACCGAAAGTCGAGTACCGTTGCAAAGTCGCGGTGGATTCAAATTACGCAGTATCAAAATAACTGTACCAACTTTCAGTTGCAAGTTATGTGGTGGAAATCCTGGTATCTCCAGAGAGTTCAAAAACTCCGTTGGATAATTTACTACATCATCGGGATTTGTTATTGAATCAACGGATTTGTATGTCACCAAATCGCCAGCAATTTTTGATTGAATGGTGAAATTCAGTGCGTGGACATCATTATTCTTTGCTGCAAGAATTGCTCGTTGACTTAACCAAGCATAATTCTTATAATTCTCACTAATGTTTGGGAAAACATTTTCAATAAGAACTAATTGAGTGTCTACAAATCGGCAAAAGTCGTTGGTAAGAGTAATTAATCCAGATGTCGCATCAACTGGGACTTTTCCATTTCCAATATCTAACAATTGTTTGGAAAATTGTGCAGAACTTTGATCATTTTGAAGTTGAACTCGCATATTAGTGGTTAGCGATAATGTTTTTACGTTATTCCATAAAGGTGATGCCTTTAGGCAAGCATTCAATTCATCTGCAGGCGTTCCACGGGGAACTACTGGCAACGTCTGCCTGAAATCGCCTGCCAACAATATCATCAAGCCGCCAAAGATGTTGTTATTTCTCCGAAGATCCTTCAGTGTGAAGTTAAGTGCTTCAAGTGATTTCTTATGTGCCATTGTGCACTCATCCCAAACAATGAGCTTGCATTGCATTAACAATTTTCCCATTGCACTGGATCGGGAAATATTGCACGTTGGAGTATCAATTGTGTTTAAATTGAGTGGCAACTTAAGCGCAGAATGTGCAGTACGACCGCCATCTAGAAGAGTCGCCGCAATTCCAGATGATGCTAACGCCAAAGCTATGTCACATCTTGATCGAATAGTGGCCAAAATCAATGAAATGACAAATGTTTTCCCTGTTCCTCCAGGTGCATCCAGGAAGAATAGACCACCAGTATTATTGTCCACCGCTTGCATTAATGTTTTGTATACTTGTTTTTGCTGTTCATTCAGCAACGGAACATTATTTCTAACGAATTCCTGCAATGTATCAACATTGTATTGCAGCTCTCGATTTAATTCTTGGTTGAATGCATCGTGCATCGATCGATTTGGCGCAATCATTCCTACTTCAATCAGTAGCTTGTTTGCAATAGTCAAGCATTGATCCTCAATCAGAATCAATCCTTCATTGTAGATTTCATCGGTTATTTGTATGTCAGGATTATTCGTTTGAATACGCAAGCGATGCAAGATATCTTCACATATGGCGTCTTTGTATTTGTTCCATAACTGAATTGGTTGTGAAGGAAAACATGTGGTGATGATAATTGCGAACAGCGTTCGTATTTGGTACGCATTTGATGAAACAACTGAATCTGCAAGTGTTAAATCCCAATGAGAATCGTTCTCCAGCAAACCCAATAGTTGACATGCTTCTCGATATGTTTGGCATTGGTGGCCATTCACAGTTTTCAAATGCGCAAATGATTTCGGTCCACGTACATTTACTAACAGCAGTCGCAAATAAAAACATTCATATTACTTTTATCTAGGCATTTTGGACTATGGACAGAGTGTTGAATTTAACTTCAAATGCACGATCCACATAATTTACATAATTTATTTTAGCTTAAATGAAATTAACTGAGCAGAGAATAATGACTATCTGTCAAACACTTTATCACGCACCGTTGCTATTGGTTTGAAGTACATCAGGAAAACCGGACTTATTTTTATATAATAGATAATAGATGGCGCTGTATGTGAAAAACGATTTCCCCACTTTTCTGTTGAATTTTTCCTGAATTTTCCAGAATTTTCTTTGCTATAAACCTCACGGAGCCCAAGACCTTTCCAACGAATGCAAAACCGTGGAAATCGGTTCGTGCGTTCTCGAGTTATAGCGTCAGGGAGGAAAACCGGACTTATTTTTATATAATAGATAATATTTAGTAAACCTAATACATATTATATTATTATTACTATTGTTATTTTTATTTATTGATCTATTTTAGTATATTAAGTATACATTTATGTTTGTACATTATATTTTTATTTCGAAAATTATACTATGTAATTCAAGTTGAATTTATTCAGATAGATATTCTCTAATTTTTTAGTTATTATTTAAAATGTAAAATCATTGATTTTGACAGGAAAATTTCATATGCTTATAAGTATAACATATTATTTTTATAGTTTAAGAAACTAATTATTATAATATAATGTTATCGTTCATTTTTCTGATGCTTGTGTATTGTTGATAAAACAGTACTAGTATGTATTAATTACGTTTAAAAAAATATAGTTTGTATATAATTAGAAATAAATAAAGTACTATTTGAGAGTAACTAACTATTTATATTTTAGTAGGTCGTAGGTGGGTGGGTGGGTCTAACACTAGTATTTTTTCCCCATAACATGAAATATAGATCGGCGCCACTGCAGCTACCTTTATATCATACAATCATGGACGAATTCACTGAAAGTGAAAATATATAGACCTCGCGTGCACAAATTTAGGCGACGGCGGCTACCGCCACTGACAACTGTCGATCACAGCGCCTTAGCGGTGGCGGTGCAATATTAAATGGAAACGGCTATTGGAGAACACGAATTAAGATATACAGGATGCCGAACGAGAGCTTATCAGGTGAAGACGGAAGTTTCCAAAAATCCAGAATGACTTATAGCGCTTTTAGCCACAGTGGCGTTTATTGAACTAAAACAATTCTACCATCTAGCAAGAATTATAGTTTTACGTATCTTTATCTTAAAAATTATCATCATGTTAATTTCCCGCTACTTTTATGAAATTGTATTAATGTTGGATATGTAAAAATTATTAGATCATAAAATGCATTATGAATATTATGAATGATGATGAATGGATGTAAATAAAGATATAAAATATGATAAATTGACTAATATTTAATTTTGGCATTGGGCCTGAAAACGAATAAAAATAGAGTTGATAAGATATTTGTGGCTAAGCTTAGCAAGCTTCATAGTATACAATGTAATGTCCTCATGCTTGTATTAAATCAACTGATTTTACTTATTTAAACGATTATAATACAGACTGTGAGCTATTAATTATTTACGTTCGTTTAATAAGGAGTAAATTTTTATACCCAAATAGTTTACCAGGTAAGTATATTTAGTTAAACTAGTTATGTCTAAATATTACCCTGTCAAATGCTGTGTACCACATTGTACATCAACTCACTAGTCGAGATTTGGTATACCAAAAGATTTGTTTTTAAAATGGAAGGAAGTAATAGGTGTACCATTAAAACCAAATTCAAAAATATGTGGTGCTCATTTTTTTAAAAATGATATTGTTAGTACTTGGGAATCAGGTACAGCAGAAAATAAATATTCATTAAGTATAGTTTAAAAATTGATTACTCAAGAAGTTAGTTTATTAAATTGTTTTGTTAAAAGTTTGTTAAAAGTTTTTAAACAGTTTTATTTATACAAATTGAATTTTATGACACTTGTACTTAAAATCAATAAAAAAGTATTTTGCATACCTATTAAATGAATTGTTATTATATCAAAGAAAACTTTTATTGTACCTATTATAATATTATTCAATTGTTGAGAAATATGTCTTGTATACCATCTTAGGTAATAATTAATATTTTACTTATGTGAATATGTGATTATATTTATTATGATACTTGATAGTCGTAACCATACAAAATTAGTTAAGGATTTCGCCACCTTAACCATTTCGGCGCCATAAGTTAATTTGTTAATCTGGAAACTTTCGACTTCGCAAAAATACTGATAAAGGGCTGTCGTTCGGCATCCTGTATATCTTAATTCGTGTTGGAGAAGCAGATTAACAAAACGCGCTCTGGTGGAAACAATTTGTACCTTTCGATTCGGCATGTATAGATATACGAGGGCGGGCTGATAAGTAATGCCTCTTGACGCGTAGTTTTAAAAGTATTATACATAGAATAATTAATGAAAAACACACGTATAGTAATTTAAATGATTTTTATTTACATACTATTATTTTTCAACATAACTACCTTCTAAGGCGATACATTTTTGCCAACGATTTACTAATTTAGAAATGCCATTCAAATAAAATTCTTCGGGTTGAGCATTGAACCATCGTTTAACTTCAGCTTTAACTTTCTCGTCAGAATTGAATTTTGTACCCTTGAGATGTTCTTTAAGCTTAGGAAACAGAAAAAAATCACATGGTGCCAAATCCGGGCTGTAGGGTGGGTGTGGAATGACTTGAAATCCCAGTGATTCAATTGCTGTCATTGTGGCACGGCTGCAATGAGGTCTCGCGTTGTCGTGATGAAGCAAAAGTTGGGTTAAATTTGGTCTGACACGCTTAATCCTTTTTTTCAGCCTTTTTAGTGTCTCTATGTATCGTATAGAATTTATTGTTGATCCTTTCTCTAAGTATTCAGTGTGGATCAAACCTTTTGAATCCCAAAACACAGTCAACATGACTTTCCCAGCTGACGCTTGAACTTTAAACTTCTTTGGGGCTGGTGAAGTCTTATGACGAAATTCCATTGACTGTCTTTTATTTTCAGGGTCATAGTGATGTACCCAAGATTCATCTCCGGTAACAATAATATTTAAAAAATTTTCTCTTTCACGGTCAAAACGCAAAAGAAGTTGGCGGCAAATTTCTACGCGATTTTGTTTCATTTCTTCCGTCAGCATTTTGGGCACCCACCTTGCGCATATTTTTCGATATTCAAGTTCGCAGAGAATGTGTTGGACACGTTCTTTAGATATTCCCAACGCTATTGCTATTTCTGATTGTTTAATCCTCCGATTTCCCTTGACCAAATCATCGACTTTTTGTTTATGGGCCTCGTCAGTAACCGTCACCGGCCGCCCACTTCGATCCTGATCGGCAATAATTGCTTTTCCGACTTCAGAACCTTTAACCCGTAATGCCCAACGACGAACAGAACTTACATCGAGAGTTTGATTTCCATAAACCGCAAGCAGGCGTCTATGAATATCGAATGGCTTCACATTTTCTGCAACGAGAAATTCAATAACAGCACGCTGTTTGAACCGCACATCTGAAGGGGCCGTCATTATAGATTCCATAAATAATAAAATATTAACATTACACTATCGCGTCTTCGCACACACTAAACCAACGACATAAACTATTATATTGACAACAAATGACAATTTTATCGTACATCTAAAAATAACTATAAGATAAGAGGCATTACTTATCAGCCCGCCCTCGTAGTTTTATATTGGTTATTTTACTTTTTGTAATAAATTAATTTTGTTATCGAAAGTTTATACGCTTTTATAGCTAACTGTTTACGTTGGTAAGTACAATTTATACTAGTATTATCAAATACATCCAAATAAACTTCACTTAAAGCAAAATATATACGAAATGTCGGGTAAATACATAAAATCTCCCAACTCCATCAGTAAGATAGGCGTCGACAGCGCTCCCAGTGTTAATCTGTCTACCCAGTGATAGCTCATAGTTACGTTACAGCGACGCGCATCCATTCTCGCGTTCATACAATTTCTGTACAAGAAAGTAATATTCAATATATGTTGCTTATTAAACTTAAATTCTGAAACATTTAATGTCTGAAATATTAAAATAAATTTTAAAAATTACATTATACGATTAAAATTTTAAAATTCAAAATAGTACAAAATACCGATATAAAGAAACAAATAGTTTTTATTTTTCTGAAAATTACAAGTGAGGAGGTGCTTGATTGCCTCACCCCCAAAACCACCACTGAACCCAGCTGAATGAGGTTACAAAAATTATATAGGTAGTTAATGACGTTTATATAATGATATGTTTAACAATACCTTGCATTTTCTTTTGTTGATCACTACCGCAATTAGGACCAGATTGAAAGCGATGATTATCATTTGAACAGTCAGTAAACTTGTCCGAATCATGGCATCTGATTTTTGAATCTTCATTTTATTTTAATTAACCGGAACTGAAAAATAAGAAAAACTGTCAACCCAAAAATAAATATAATATAAGAGGTTTTTTTAAAAATAATATTATGATCCCTGACCTTTACGATTTTATTGTTACTAAATAATACTCAGTAGGTAATTAATAATTATTAAAATATATATGTTTTTTTTTATAGATTGGTGGTTAAGAGTCACAAGTCACAACAACATGATCGGGATATTGGTATTAGTGTGATGTGGTAGCTGAAAATGAAACTAAAATATTTAATAATAATAAAACGTTTTCTTCCAGAATAAGCTTTGTACTGAACTAAATATATGGGAAGCGTGTATTATTCAAAATATGAGACCCATAGGAAGTCGCCATATGCATTCCGAGTCGAGGGAAAACATGGTGAAATGTTATGTTATCTATGAATATTGTTATCATCATCACAATATTAATGTTAAAAATCAAAATTGGAATGCATTGGGCGGCTCCCGTATAGTCTCATTTTACATATATGAGAATTATACATAATGCGCATTCCATGTATTTAGTTCAGTGAAGCTTTGGCTTCTCAGTAAATTTTGTAGATTTAAATTTGACCAAACAACAATACATATATGACATTACGCCAACGACTAAAAGAGAAATAAGTACTTATATATTTTTCATTCTTACGATATTATAAAAATTATAAATAAACAATGTATCCACCTGACCACAGTATTGTAATTACTGAATCGTAAAAGTACGGTTAAAAATACAGTTCTGCAGCAATTCATAAATGATTTACAACTAGATTAGATAGAATGTAAATTAGGGTACCGCTCAACTATATAGTCGGGCCCCCTGACTTATAACTTTTTAAAACATTTTCAAAATTCTGGAAAAATATAAATAAACAAGGTTTTGAAAGTGCAATGTCAGACGACTCTATTTCTTATAATATAATACCCGTAAAAAATGATATAATCAATTTTATTCGAAAGCAATTATCAGCCAAAAGATGATTACAAAGAATTACTAAATTTAAGTTTGTTATTTCTTGGAGAAAATATAAGTGAAAAAGTTACAATACAAGCACCCGGAGCATTCCATAGAGCAAGGTTTATGTCTAAAATCATTTACTGTTTGAAAATTTATATGTTTCAATCACAGTTTGAATTAAAACCTGAAGTTCTCGAGGGATTAAAAACATTCAATGTTTTTATTGTCAGAGTGTATATTAAATATTGGTTTACATCGCCTAATGCTGCTAGTGCCTTTCAACAAATGATTTAAACTTTATAAATGATTTAAAAGCTTGTGACAATAAGACAATGGCTAAAATACCTTTAAAATGTTTTTCCCGTCATTTAAGGTACTTGAGCCAAACATTAGTAGGTCTATCTTTTTTTGATGACAATGTTTCATATGAAAATAAATTGAGCATGGTATCAGCTTTGTCAAATTTAGGGAGTGATAAAGGTAAACCAAAAAAATTTAAGATACGAGCAGTAGAACTGGCTGAGAAGAAGTTATCAGATTTAGTGACAAATCAAACCATACATTTATTTGATGCATTAAATATTAAAACAAACTTTTTACGAACGGATCCAAGCACATGGGAAACTAATAAAGAATTTCTAAGTGGAAAGAAATCAGTGGGATCATTAAAAGTTATGAATGACATAGCAGGGCGAGGAGTGTCTTTAATTTCATATTTTAATTCAGTTTTGACCAATCAAGAGGAGCAAAAACAGTTTTTACTGCAAGTCGTTGAAATGGGAGTTACCCGTTTCCGCCAAAAGTGTACCTTTCCCTTTTCCCCCAATTCACTTTTCCGTCAAATCATAAATTGTTCGATTCCCTTTTCCGCCAAAAGTGTACCTTTCCTTTTTCCCCCAATTCACTTTTCCGCCAAATCAAAAAAGTTAGTCTAGTATTTAAACATTATATATACAATATGCATGTCAGTCATAATTTAATATATTATAATTTTATTTTTATTTCATATACATGTCAGTCATATTATAATTTTTTTTTTTAATATAGGATTCATAATAACAGTTTTTTTTTACTATTATTAAGAAGTTTATACTATAATGAAATATATATAACATACCGTAATTTCAACTTACTGATAAATTTATCACTGATTATATATATGACTGACGCATGTATGTAAAATATAAATAAAAACATAATTTTAATTTGATTTATAAAATACATAATATATTAGGTATAACACTTTTTAATAGTGATAAGAAACAAAATAGTTTTAATTTTTAATGTAAATTATAATATGACTGACGCATGTATGTGAAATAAAAATAAAATTATAATTTATAATATATTATAATATGACTGACATGTATATTGTTACTAAACTAAATACTAGACTAACTTTTTTGATTTGGCGGAAAAGTGAATTGGGGGAAAAGAGAAAGGTACGTTTTTGGCGGAAAAGGGAATCGAACAATTTATGATTTGGCGGAAAAGGGAAAGGTACACTTTTGGCGGAAACCGGCCATGCCCCATTGAACGACCAGTAAAACTTGACTCAAAATTCTAAAACTTCATTAAAATAGTTTTTATGGTAAATAGAACCTGATAGTAAGGTAAGAAATGTAAAAAAAAAAAAATTTATGTGGCACCCTAATGTATATATAAATGGGGTTTTAAAAGAGGTTCCGGTTGAAGAGAATACAGACAGAAATTCACTATTGATACTTGTTGTGATTCAAATCTTTGATTGTCATCTCTTGTACCGACTCAGTCATATGGACTTCGAAAATCCAATAATGAAAAATTAACAATATGGAAAAATCCACGTCCATCATTAACAAAGTATTGCAGACCAGTTAGGTTTTTGTTTGAAAAATAAACAAGATACCATACAAAATTAAGATATTTATATTGAAAATCAAATTAACATAAAACATTGAACAAACAAATGCGATGATTGGATCAACGAATCTAAAAATCAATATTATACTGTGATCATGATCGATAAAAAAGTTTGCAATGCAATAAAACAAGTACCCAGGTTTGTTATATTTGCGGAGTGTCTCTAAAATATATAATAACTTAGAAGTAGTCCGAGCCCAACTTAGGAATTTTGGGGTACGGGTCTAATTGTTTGATGGGGCCACAAAATTAATTATGATGTAAATTATTAACTTAAATTATTAATTCGGTCTTTTTGCTATATTTTTTTTTTATATTCAATTTATTTTCATAAAATTATAAATAAATTTTACAATAAGTAATTACTTATGGTATATGTAATGTTGATTAATATAAATAAAACGTTGCAATTAAAAAAATATATATATATAAGTAAAGTAGTGTAGATACAGTAAAATAATTACAAGAACCGATGTATTCAACAATTCCCAACATTTTTTAAGTGACATCATCTATAAACTGATTAAAAAATATAAATAAAATCCATCGCTAAACCATCGGCATGAGTGCATGACCCATTTACCGATTGCATAATATTCACTAAATACTTTTGATAAATTGACAAAATCTATAAATGACAGAATTGAATTGAAGAAAACAACATCCTATCACGTACCCTTTAAATGACTGCAGATAAGTTTCTAAAACTTGCATAATTTTTTAGAGTGAGTATTTACAAATTATCCTATCCTGTAGGTATAGAGAAATATTGTTTAAAAAATTAATACAAAAATATTGTTTGCAAAATGTAAATACAAACCTAACAATGAGAAAAATATTGACTAGGGTAATTTAAAACAAAAAATGTATATTATAGAAGAATATATAAAAAAAGTTTTACTAAACCATTTTAAATAAATAAATACTACCTCCTTTAAACTGTCAATCTCGTCGCGTAGTAGGCGATTTTCAGATTTCAGTTCTTCTTGAAAAGTTGACAATTTCAATATATTCTTTTTAAGCTCTTTAAATTGAGTGATTTGTGTCTAAGATTCATTTTAATTGAATCAGAAAATTCTTTATGAAACCCCGATATAAATAACGAGAAGTCATCATTAGTGGGGAACCACCAGTGCACTGCTGAGAACCACTGATTAGCTGAAGTGGGGTTAGGAGATGAGACAGGAGTCTAAGTTGTTCAGCACTACCTGACTTTGACTTGACTTGAGTAGGAATTATTATATAGTGCAGTTCAATGGATACAACAATAGAGAATAAAGTGTAACTAAATATCTCAATATCCACAAAGCCTAGCGTTTAAGTCTCCAAATAAAAAGCAGCTGACGTGATGAAAATGTAATAATATACAATGTGATCCGGGGGGAAGTGACCGGCCGACGGTATATGAAAGTATACCCAAAATGATGAAGAATGAATACCCTTTAAAGAGTGGGTTTACATTTTTTTTTTTAAGTTATGGGCAGTTACCTTTTTTTTATCAAAACCAAACCTATCACACATTCTTTTATGTATCTTCAAAACTATTCAACATTTTGAAGTATTTTTTTTTTTATCTTAAAGCTATTTAAGTGTTCTATCAACTAACATACGTAATTAAACCAGAAATGTGCAAATTATTTTTATTAATTTGAAAAAGTAATTATTTTTTATCAAAAATTAATATTTTTAAAAGAAAATCGCGGATAACTCCAAAAAATGTAGTATTTACTATGGGTTTTTTGCTTATTGTATTATTCTACTGAATAATACCTAAAATAAATTAAAAGTTTGGTTTTCATATAGTCCATAATTGCAGAATTATACGCTGCTAAACAGTACACGTATGTTATAAAAACTAAAATTAAACAATTACCGACCGATACTCGATTCTAAGAAAATCAAGATTGTAACGACAGTGACAGTTTCTTCATCATTTTGGGTATACTTTCATAGACATCAGCCGGTCACTTCCCCCCGGAACACATTGTATATTTAACTATATTTAATATAGTTTTACCAAAATAACGCGGCATGACGATTGTGTAACGTGCCAACCACTTCAACTCAGTTTTGGTCGTATTTTGAATTAAATAACAAGTTGATTTTATAATGATAGTTCAGTTGTATTTATTTAACACATAAAATAGACCAAGTCCAAATAATTTAACTTATAAAAATGTGGTACACGGGATGTGACTTAGTATCGACTTCGTGGCTGCTCTGCTGGTGCTCGTCTTTTCGGCTGGTGTTCGTCTGATGGACACTTGTCCATCGACGTATTTCGTCGGTATTCCTAATAGATCCCTCCTATGGCATTTTAGTATAAAAATAGTACACGCGCCGCATCTGCCTGAGGTCATTTCTGACGTCTTTTACGAAAAATGATGTTAATTACGGATTATATGTTTCCAAAGTTATCTATTTGTGCTGTTTACGGCTTTTTCGTCTTTCCTAGAATATAGAAATTGCGCGCGTATACCTATCACGTGTTCGCGCTGTACCATTAATTAGTTCTTATTGATATGGCCGCTCGGATGCTGATATTATTACTATTATCGGGGTTACGTGCTCCCTGTAGCATCTATGTCTATTATTGAACATAATATATATATTATAATCGTACTTTACCTAATACAATATAATATTTTATATATTATTACTATTATTAATATATACGTAGTCACAGCCTGTTACAATTGTGATAAGAACTTACTTACGCAAGAACAACAGGACGTTCAAATGGCCATAAGACTTAAATGGAATGGTTCGGCATAACACACAACGCACAAACGATGATTAATAACAACACATACATTAACACCGTAAAAAAAGACGAAAAGTTAAGAAATTAATGTAGACAAAAATGTGTCAAAAATTGTTTTCAATACCTACAAATGTTGTGAGAAAATATCAAGGACATTATAGAAACCTAAGAAAACAAATAGGTAATCTTATGATATATCTCAAATTATAAAAGTAACTTCCTCTTGAGGACATTTTTCCAAATTTGTAAATTTTAAGCTATCGCGGGCCTAGAGGGGTGACTGAAAACAAATTTTTGCAATAACGATACCAACAATAATAACCACTTATCTTCAATAAGATTCCGGGTTTCAAAATTGATATTCCTGATAAAGCCTCAACTTTAAATTATTTCAAGTTATTCTGTAGTACAGATATTTTTGAGCTTATGGTAGTTGAAACTAATCGTAACGCTGAACAGTTTCTTTCAAAGAGCAGGCTAACCAAGTCGAGTAGATTCTCTAAATGGTCAAAAACAAATGTCGATGAAATTGAAAAGTTTATGGGCTTACTCTTGTGGTTTGGTTTAGTTCAAATGCCGAGTTTAGAGAGCTATTGGAGTACCAAAATTAGATACAAAAATAATATTGCTCCTAAAATAATGTCCCGAAATCGATTTGAATTACTTTTAAGATTTCGGCACTTTGAGGATAACGAAGAAACCCCTGACAATGATCGTATCTATAAAGTTCGTGATTTGCTAGAATGTGTTGTAAAAAAATATAAAAATGTCATAGAACCAGATGAGTACTTAGCAATAGATGAGTCAATGGTTCCATTACGTGGTCGTTTGAAATTCAAGCAATACATACCCGGGAAGGCTCATAAATATGGAGTGAAACTATTTAAAATATGTGACAACAATGGATATACATACATAAATTGGTGTTTTATCTAGGAACTTTAAGTAAACACACAAAAACAACTTATTTTTTATGTATAAAGCGGACTTTATTTAATTTGAACTGTATATATGACTTTACAAAAGGTTTAAGGTATTGAATTCATGAAATCATGACTACTACTGACTAGGTGACAAAAAAATATGAAGTTTGAGTAATTGACACAAAATATATCAGTGCTGCCAATACAGCACCAGTATTATAAACATTAACATAAACATATTCCCCCCGTTGAAGGAAGTCTTCAACTAAAATTATAATAATTAGTATTCTTATAATAATGATTCAAATTTTAAATGACATGAAAAAATGTAATAAAAAATGCTTAACATGACATAAAAAAAAATAATAACACATTTTTTTTTTACTTGTTATAAATAGGATTACACAATTTTAATCAATAGGAACTTTACTAAGTTTAACAACGGGACGTTTAAGTGTTGTTTGCGCAGTCTTGACTGTGGCTACACGCACTACTCCATCAGTCCCTGGGTGAAGGAGAATGATTCGGCCAACCATCCAGTGAGATGGTGGAATATTGTTTTCTTTGATTATGACTAAGTCACCAACGTTGATGTTAGGACATTGCTTGTGCCATTTTCCTCTTTGTTGAAGTGATGTGATGTAGTCGTTTGACCAACGTTTCCAAAATGATTGAACCATTGATTGCACTCTGCTCCATCTTTGCAATTTGTTCATTTGCGTATCAGCATTGTCTTGCTCAATGGGTAAGAGAATGGAATCACCCACCAAAAAATGTGCTGGAGTCAGAGGTCAGACGAGGAGTCAGAGGAGTCAGAGGTTCATCATTTGGATCATTGGACTGTGAAGTTATCGGTCTTGAGTTGAGACAAGCTTCAATCTGGGAAAGAAGGGTGGCAACTTCTTCAAAGGTTAAGCATTCAGTTCCCATAACTCTATGCAAGTGGTATTTTACTGACTTCACACAAGCTTCCCACAGTCCACCCATATGTGGAGCATTCGGTGGTATGAAATGCCACTCAATGCTATCGGGTAAACATATTTGAGCAATTTTTTCTTTGTTTTTGATTACCCATTCATGAAGTTCTGTTAAGCTTCTGGATGCTCCAACAAAGTTTTTTCCGTTATCACAGTAAATTTGTTTGCACATTCCTCTTCTTGATATGAACCGCTTGAGTGCTGCAGTGAATGCGTTGGAACTAAGGTCACTCACAAGCTCAAGATGTACTGCTTTAATAGCCATGCAGACAAATACAGCTATGTACGTTTTTACCTTGCATGCTCGCTTGTTTTTTGATTGTCGGATGTACACAGGTCCACAGAAATCAATACCAGTGCTGGTGAATGGTCTTGATGGCGTTACTCTGGCACTTGGTAATTGACCCATAAGTGGAGAGTGAAATTTGGGTTTAGCCTTGAAACATACAATGCATGAGTGGACGATTTGTTTACATAGGTTTTTTCCACTTAGTGGCCAGTACTTCTGACGTATAATAGTTAGTAGAGTCTGTGGCCCTACATGCAGGTTGGTCACGTGCAAATACTTAGCAATCAGTTTGGTAATGTGATGTTGTTTTGGCAATAAAATTGGATGTTTCTTATCGTTTGTAAAGGATGAATGTCTTAGTCGTCCCCCAACTCTAAGAACTCCTTCTTGATCATAAATGGAGCTAGACATAACAACTTGCTTTTTGATGACAAATTTTTATTATTCGAAAGTTTAGTTATATCTGATGAGAACTCTTCAGCTTGAACTAATTTGCAACAATGCAATGTTGCTTGTCGAAACTCTTCAGTAGTAAGATGGCCGATTAGTTTTTCCCTGCATTGAGATCGAGCTTGAGTATTACGTATAAATCGAAATACATACGCAGTTGTTCGAATTAATTTGGACCATGACGAATGATTTTCGAACTGGATACTTGACGTTACAAATACTTGTGTTTTTATAACTCGTTCTTCAAGTACTGTTTCTGATGTAGGTGCAGTAATGGATACTGGCCACTGATCATTTGAGAATCTCAACCATGTTGGACCTGACCACCATAAGGATGCTTCAATCAACCTTGAAGGTTGGACTCCTCTCGAGATTAGATCTGCTGGATTGTCTTCCGATTTTATGTGGTTCCACTGAGCATTAGATGTTAATTTTTGTATTTCACTAACTCTATTGGCAACAAATTGTTTCCACCTTGACGGACAGGCTGAAATCCAGGCTAATGTTACGGTAGAATCTGACCATAAAAAAATGTTTTTTGGTTTTACCTTTAATGCGGAAAGTATTGAACTTACCAACTGCGATAATAGTAGAGCACTGCAAAGTTCTAGTCTAGGTATACTTAGAGTGCGTACAGGTGCTACTCTTGATTTGGCAGCTAATATTCTTGTTTGGTTATAACCATTGTGGTCTGTACATCTAATGTATACCACCGCCCCATAGGCTCGTTCTGAAGCATCTGAGAATCCTTGAATGTCAAAGTTTAAATCACAGTTTGCCAAAGTTACTTGTCGAGGAATTTGTAATTTATTTAAATTTGGTAATTCATCAACAAACTTATTCCAAGTTGCCTGCGTATCTGGTGGCAATGGTGAGTCCCAATCTATTTTCAGTTTCCACAATTCTTGAATCAACATTTTTGCAAGTATTACTACTGGTCCAATGAGTCCTAGTGGATCATATAACCTTGCAATGAGTGAAAGCACTTCTCTCTTGGTTTGATATGCATGGGTAAAATCAACAGGTGGTCGTGTGCAATAAAGATTATCATTGCTTGGATTCCAAGTTAGTCCAAGAACTGTAATTATGTCTGTTGTATTGCTTGATTTGTTATTTGTTGTGAAATTTAACAATGGTTTGTAGTTAGAAGCCCACTTACTGAGTTGAAATCCCCCTTCGGAGAGCATAGAATTCAGTTCAGAGATGATTTTCTTGGCTTCTTCCACGGTGTTGGCTCCACTAAGAATGTCATCCACATAAAAGTCCCTTATAATGTTTTCTGCATTAGGATACTTGTCTTTACAATCAGCAGCTAGTTGGTTTAATGTTCTGGTTGCTAAGTATGGCGCAGCCGCTGTGCCATATGTGACAGTGTTTAATTCATAAATCTTGATCTCTTGATGTGGAGATGAGCGCCATAATATTGACTGTAAGCTAGTATTTTCATGGTGAACTTGAATTTGTCTGTACATTTTTATTATGTCTGCTGTAAATACTATACTGTGCATTCGGAAACGAATGATTACAGAAAATAAATCATCCTGGACAACCGGACCAACTAGAAGTATATCGTTTAGAGACAAGCCCTTACCTCCATCAGTCTTCATCGAGGCATCAAATACTACTCTGAGTTTTGTTGTAGTACTTGCTTCACGGAATACAGGATGGTGTGGTAAAAAATAGCGAACTTCCTTTGCCTGTGTTATATCCTCCACTATTTGCATGTGACCAAGAGATAAATATTCATTCATGAAATTGTTGTAATTGGTTTGTAATACAACATCTTTTTGCAAACGTTTTTCAATCTGTCGGAATCGCCTTAACGCTTCTTGAAATGAATCACCAAGGACTGATGGATCAGAGCGTAATGGCAATTTGACAATGTATCTTCCATATTGATTTCTAGATGTAGTAGCTGAATACATTTGTTCACATTGAATGTCTTCATCAGTACTTAATCTATCAGTTTTAAATTCTTCTACTCTCCAAAATTTAGTTATTGCTTGGTTGATGGTTTCTGTTGCTTGACAATTTGAATTTGTACAAAGATAACTTGCAGTATTTTGTGTATTATAATTTACATTTAGTTGACCAGCTACGACCCAGCCCAGAGCAGTCTCATGAAGTGTTGGCCGGTGGTTTCCTAATTTAATGAGTCCTCTTTGTAAAAGATTACTGAAACATTCACTTCCAATAAGCATGTCAACTTTGTTACTTTTGTAGTATTCTGGGTCAGCTAGAGTTAATCCAGATGGTAATTTGATTCCTTGTACTGGAATACTTGAAGTAGGTAAGTCGTTGGTGATTTTTTTTCATTACTAGAAATTCTAAATTTTGTTTGAAAGTTGACGTACGTGACATTATTTGTAACGTTATGACAGCTTCACTGCAAGATGATAGCGCACTTACTCCACTTACTTTAGTAATACGGCTTGTCGCTGTCAATCCCAGATCTGATATGCACTGTTGAGTGACAAAATTAGATTGTGATCCATTGTCTAACAATGCTCTAAATACTTGCAACTTGCCATTTATGTCCTTCACATGCACCTTGGCTGTCCATAATAGCACATGTGGTTGTTGTATGACGCTAGCACAGTTTACATTAGATTCATTGATTTCTTCATTTGAGTTGTTAGTGGTCTTTGACTGAACTGAGATTTTATTTTTTTGCTCTTGAGGTGATGAATCACTTTCTTCACCTTTGTTATTCTGTTTGTTTGCATTTGATTTGTAATTTTCAATGTGAAGTAGTGTGTTATGTTTATTGTTGCATTTTAGACATGCTCGACTTGTGCATTTGAATGAGTGACATTCTGGCTTTAGGCAATTAAAGCATAGTTTATTCTTCTTTACTACTTCTGCTCTATCCTTGACAGTCATTTTTAGAAATTGTGGACAGTAAAATATTTTGTGTGAAGTGTCCTGACATACACTACACTTATTGTATGAATTGTTGCTTGTAGTAGCTACATGACTGTTTGAACGCATCTGTGGTTTAACTTGTCCTACAATACGTTGATCAATCTTCGCAGACTCTAACGCATAACACTCTGTTTCCAAAAATTCAATAAATTGTTTAAACGTTGGCCACTTGCCTTGTTTTAGATCCTGGTTTGTTGCAGTTCGACACCATTTTTCTCTCAAATCTTGAGGTAATCGACGATTTGTTAAATAAATAATTATTGTATCCCAATGTATTACAGGTACACCCAACTCTTGTAATGCCCTTACGTTTTGATTTAATTCAGTTATTAACTTTCTTAACTCATCTGTGCATCCTTTTTTTATAATTGGTTCTTGGCATATCATTTTGAGGTGACTAGATACTAAGATCTGTAGATTGTCATACCTGTCAATTAATGATTGCCATGCTGATTGGTAGTTACTGCCTGTAACTGGCATGGATTGAATCATACTGAGCGCATGACCATTTAATGGACATGAACTCTTTAGGAACATGAACTTTTGAATTGTTGATATGGTTTTACTATTATGGACTAGTGTACAGAAGAGATCTTTGAAATTTGGCCACTCTTTAATATCACCATCATACTTGGGTAATTCTATCTTGGGAAGTCTTACATGTGTCTCAGTAGCAGCTGTTGTTAATGCATTTGCCTTTCGTATGAACATCTTGATCTTAGCTTGAACAGTAAACATTGATTCTTCAAATGCTGCACGTATTTCATCTTCGTCACTGTTCTCTGCTTCATCTTCCAATTGTATTTGAAGTTTTTCAAATGCTTCTTTGATGTCAGATAACCTTTCCAATCGAGCTTCCAATTCACTGATATCATACGCGCTGCTATCGAACGACATTACATATGCATGTATGCGCTCTAACGCCTTGATCTGCGTTTTCCTTTTCTTGCAAATGCTGCTTTTTTCTGCTGCTGTTAAACCCATTTTGATATTGCTTTATTGTGATTTGTGAGCAAAACTAAAAACAATGTTTTGTTTTTTTTTTTTTACATTTACGCTGTTATCACTTGTCGATAACGCGTCAACTGATGTTGATGTTGTAAACGAATTGACGATTACGATTTGGTTACCGTTTGTTAGGTTATGTTTTTGTCTTCATAAACATACTTTGTCACCAGCTAATAATACCACACTGTGACTGCCATGGTGCCATGTCGCCATGACATTATAATACGGAATTTTCATTTGCACTGACCTTTTGTATCCGGCTCGACATGACCAAATTTTATGTTGCTGTTTTATCTAGGAACTTTAAGTAAACACACAAAAACAACTTATTTTTTATGTATAAAGCGGACTGTATTTAATTTGAACTGTATATATGACTTTACAAAAGGTTTAAGGTATTGAATTCATGAAATCATGACTACTACTGACTAGGTGACAAAAAAATATGAAGTTTGAAAAATTGACACAAAATATATCAGTGCTGCCAATACAGCACCAGTATTATAAACATTAACATAAACAACATATGATTTACAAGTATATGCTGGTAAAAATCAGGTAGATGGTAAAGGTCTAGCACTTAGAGTTGTAATGGAGTTAATTAGACCTTCAGTAGGACGCACTGCAGTTACAGATAACTTTTATACATCCATGCCATTGGCTCGTGAATTATTGAAGAACAACACACATCTGGTAGGAACATTGAGAACAAGTCGTGTGAAGTTACCTGAAGTGTTAAAAACAAAATTGAAAAAGGGGCAAACAATTTGAAAAGAAATTACAGATGGTTGGTATTGGCGAAATGGCACTAAAAACGAGATGTTGAGATGTTGTCTACCAAACATGGTATTGAAATTATCGATACAGACAAAAAGAATCGAAATGATGAACCGATTTTAAAACCACGAATAATTATAGACTACAACTCTGGAAAGGCAGGGATATAGACTTATCCGACCAACTATCAAGTTACAGTTCTCCGATACGTAAATCAATACGATGGTACCATAAAGTGGCCACTGACATTTTATTAGGTACATCAGGGGTCAATGTTTTTATTGTGTATAATATGAAGAAACTTCCAAACGAAAACATTTCTATTACACAATTTCGAGAAGTGTTAGTAGATGAACTGTTAGGATTAGATCAATTAACCAACATATCTGAAGAGCCGATTACTTCAAATAATAAACGTAAAAGAGTCAAACATGTTTTTGAAGAATCTGTAGAAAGGGACAACCACAGCTTTATTTTCAAAATCAGCTGCACTTGAAACCAAAAAGGTAAATACGCTTTGTTCAACATGCAAGATCTATACATACATTGACAGTTTTAATAAATAACATTTAAATTAATTATTAGATAAAATAATTATCTTCGTTTTATATAATTTAAAATTCTTGAGATCAACAATAAGGTAGTAATATTTATTTGTGTTTAATTTATCAGCAAAGTGACAATTATTTGTGTTTAAACATTTTTTTATGATACTTTTGTAATAATATTATTGTATTTAGTTACAATAAAATAAACATTAGCAAGTCATAAAAAATTACAGTATTTTAGTTGTGTCAATGTTTCATAAGAAACAATTTATTTCCAAACTTAACTATGCAAATTATATGTTTGTTATAAAATAAATTAAATTAAAAATTAAAAATTAAAAATAATTGTGTTTTTATACCAAAAGAATTTCATGTTCTTCTCTACGCCATGATACTGTTAAAAAATGCATTATCGTAACGCTACAAAAACCATAAGCTTTTATGCAAATATGAATTTATTGTCACCGGCGATTCATGTGGAGGGTAGGTAGTAATGATCAACTATGGGCGCCGGAGGGCATAAGAGTATGGAATTTGAACGTTGCAGTATGACCGCCGGCGGGCATATGGCGGTCAACGTGCTAAACGATGTCCCCATAGTAAAAAACATTTCTCTATAGATAACTCATTTCTACGATAAATATATGGTTTCATGTCCTCTAATACTTCCTTAATATTATCCCATTTACCTGTAAAAACTCTAAAGAAAACTTCTCTAAGCAATGGATGCTTCTTTACTTCCATACAAATATCAAGGTCTGAAAATAGTTTTAATATTTTCAGTAATTAAATTTATAGAATAATTTTTAACTCTGAATTATTGGCATTATGTGGAAACTCCAACGAAAGTCTGGACAATGCATCCGCATTACTGTTATCCATGCCCTTAACGAACTGTATTTCATAATTATACCCTGATAAAAAATAGCATAACGTTGTAAACGATTGGTTGCCATAACTGGAATGCCTTTCTTTGGACCAAAAATCCCAACTAATGGCTTATGGTCTGTCCTGATAATAAATTCACGACTATACAGAAATTGATGAAAATATCTTATCGCATAAACAATAGCAGTTGCTTCTTTGTCAATTTGAGCATAACCATAGGCGTGCGCAGACCTTGCTGGCAGGGGGGGCAGAATGTAATAATGTACCTATAGGTATATTATATAATATATAGGTAAGTAAATATTATTTTGGTTATTAGTTCAATTAATGTAAGTGATGGAAGTATTTTCATTTTATGTATCATTAAAACTACAAATAACTACAAATTTAATATAGTAATTGAAACTCCAAAGTTTTTTTATATTATATTAATATACATGAACAAAGAAAATTATTACATTCATACAGTGGTGGATCCAGGGGGATGGCAAAGGGGGCATTTGCCCCCCCCCCCCCCAATAACCGTAGTTTTCCTTTGTTTTACACTGTGTTTAGCCAATTTTGGAACTTTCATATACTTTTGAGCCCCCCATGCCCCTCCCAAAATTAAGCCCTGGATCCGCCACTGCATTCATATATATTTTTATGCCCGATGTGTTGGTGAAATCTGAATTTACTAATTCTACTTACTTTTTATTTACAATTACAAAAAAAGTAAGTAAGATAGGTAAATTATACTGCATACTAATTATTATAATTATTAATTACTAATTATTTAAAGAACCGACCTTCTTAGCGCTTCCGGTGAACGTTTTTCGCATTAAATGCCGTCAAATTACTACTCACTTTCATGTCTCATCACATCTCAATCTACATCATGCTATAATAAGATTATAAGCACTCGTTATCACCGCGGTATCGCTTGTGGTTCGCTTAAAGTTGGACAACATAAAATCATCGTGCACTGTACATCGAGCACTCAATGTTTACATAATATTCATTATATAAAACTGTATTATAATATTTTTTTAAAAACTTTGTTATTTTGTAAGAAAACTTGAGCCCGCAGGAGGGGCAGCTGCCCACCCTGCCCCTCCCGTGCGCACGCCTATGAGCATAACCATGTTCAGAAGAACTCAATGTTTTAGATATAATGCAATCGGTTTCTCTGACCCATTTGGTAGCTTATGAGACAATACCTCTAATCCCAGTTGGGCTGGCAACACATGCTAATATAAAAAAGTGTAAAACTTTTGGTTTACAAAATACTGACTTAGCATTATCATTTAAATATAATTTAAACTTCGTTTCGGATAACGCTTTTTAATATTGACTTCTTTAATACCGTATTGTGGTCTGTTATCGAGTCGTCCAAGTTTGCATCAAATTCACAAAATTGTGAAAGTTTTTTTAGTGATGTTACAAACCGGTGTATCATTTCATCAGATCCTTGCTTCCTCTCTTTGAATTTATAACGTTCAGTCAGCAAGTTCGGTTTCAATCTTTATCAATAGGCTTACTAGGTATACACAAATCTCTTAATAATGTCGTCATTGCCCAAAAAAGTAAGAAACATATATTTTTTTTATGGGTGTTGAAATCATTTAATAACACAAATAATTCGAATCTTTCAATCCATGCACTGAAATCATCATCTTTAATATTGAATTCTGAAATCTCACCCGTTAGCCATATGCTACTGTTCCGGTTAGATCCATTACCATTGTTACTTGCAGACATCTTGACATTTTCACAGACTCTTGCAATGTATTTTTCGTAAAAAGAAAAAAATACTCAAGTGGTTTTCACATCCCTTCGTCACCAAGTCGCCAATGTACTGTTTGGGAGAAACGCAGTAGTTCACAACACATAGATTTAGATACGAATGGATTTTAATTGTACATTTTGAGGTTATGTTATAAACATGGTAACACATACATGACAGTGCTCAAAAAGTGAAACTTGAATTAATATCATACAACAATAAATAGTTATAATTACATGATGTAACAGAGTAGCTATCATCAATAAAACGGTCCTTTTCTGGACCACCAATCACAACGCAGTTCAAAAGGAAAACATCGTAGGGATTTAGCGGCGTGGCGTATTTGAAACCATTCTAGTCACCTTACATCTCCAACAAGTACGGCTATGGATAGGGGAGGCTATGACGAAATCAACAACACACCCGTCCCATAAACATAAAGCCAAAACTCCGCAAATAGTACCGACGCACGGTTGCACACCCGTGGTTTACTATTTGATACGGGACACCATATATAACCGGTCCGGTGTTTCCGAATTGCGGACAAAGTGACAAAAACCATGTGAGTTGCGGACGAAATCTAAAAAGGTAACATACGAATTGCGGACACAAATATAAGATACTAATTGCGGACAAATTTCCTATTATTATTTTTGATATAGCAATCGTGGACGTTGGGAAATTACTGTATGATATTAACGATTGAGATTGTGCCGGTGCTTTTGAAACCGCTGCCTATGTTTAATCAGTTTATCGACAACCATACTCGCTTGCTGTTCGTTTATTTTCTGTATAAAAATGTATAGTGAAAAACTTCAAGAGTTACATGTGATTGACGGGTTTAAGTTCCGTTTTCATCTAGTAATGAAAAATGAAATTCAACGGTGGGCGTGTACAAATAAAATGTGTAATACATTTTTAAAATTTAATCACCCTAATATATATCAATTGATCGAGGCCTTCAATGAAGTACAGACTAGTAGCTATATGAAAATGAATTGTTTTGCTGTACGAAAAAAAAACTATTGAAAAGGAGGCATTTATTAGCAAACAAATGTTGCAATATTCACGTGGTGAAATCAGTAGAATATCATAAATACAGGCTGTTTCAAAAAAATTTTTACTACAAGATCTATAAAAATTATGACGATAAATAATGACAATAATCTATAAATATTGTATAAACAATTTTTTCCACAAAATTAAAACAATAAATAATTCAACAATTATTTACATTATTTTAAAAATAACGATTGCTCTTGTGCAAGACCCAAATATTTTTAACCCCACCTACCAATTATTTGGGTAGCTTGTCCTAAGTCCTGAAAAAGTGGCGAAGGGAATTATTTGTGTCCACAACGGATGGTTTTCGGGAAAAGGGGAACATTTTATGTTATACCTACATTACTAGTGTTAGGTACCTACATTGTTTTTTTTTTTAAATTTTTAAAAGGTTATTTAAAAAATAAAATATTAAGGAAATCTTTAATTTATATAATACATTACTATTATAACATTATTATTTTTTTTTTAATATTGTTTAAGAGGTCAGTTTTCTAATAAAATAAAATAATAAAGAAAGATTTATTTTATATTATACATTACTAGTGTTAAATTGTTATTCTTCTTTAAAATAATTGTTTTAAGGGTTAGTTTTCTAATAAAATAAAATATTAAAGAAAGATTTAATTTATACACTATTAGTGTTTCATTATTTATTTATTTTTTTTTTATTGTTTTAAAGGTTTTGTAATAAAATATAAAGAAAAAATATATTTTTTGTCTTACAATACTATAGTACCTATATTGGGTTTTTTTATTGAATAAAAAAGCATCCATTGTGAAAAAATAAGAAGAAAACATTAGGAAACTAATAATTCGACAACATTTTAATTAATTTGTGTGAAAGCCTAAAGGATAGGAAAGTAAGTTTTCTTTAGTTATAAAAACAGTAAAAATCCAATCATATTATATTATTTTTGAATAGCAAATAGTTACAAATCAAAACAAGAAAAAGGGCACAAGTCATTATTGGAGTTGTTTTGAATAGCGAATGGTCACAAGTCAAAATAAAAGAAAAGGCACAAGTCATTTTACAGTTATTTTGTTATGCAGATAGTCATAAGTCATCAAACTAAAAGTAAAACATTATTTTGATTTTTTTTAAATATTTAAAAAAATCTATAAAAATATAATTATAAGAAATGTGAAAACAGAATAAAAAAGATAATAAATATTAGATTTTATTAAGTTTTAAGCTCCTCCTGAAAAGTAGCTATTTTTGACTAAAGCCCCTTTTCCCGAAAACCGTCCATATTTATTTACTAACGTGGTTTTTATTAAAAAAAAATTTGTATTATGACAACGAAACTCGTGTCCGCAATTGTTATGTTATAATTCTTGACCTGAATAATTCGTCCGCAACTAGTATGTGTCCAACCGGTCACATCTATGGAACAAAATTCATTCTTCCATCAACACTAATGATGTAAATTTTCCCGCATACATTGTTACACATTTTGATATTAATTAATAAACGAATGTGATTATAAAATAAAAACAATCAGAGTATAATTTTTCACAATCGCTGGAAGTCGGATGTCGACGGACCGTATCAATGATACATACCTACAAAATAGCTATGCAATAGCTTTACCACGGCAGTCCCCGAGTGCCTCATTGCTTTTTTAAAATTATTCTCGATAAAAACTTTTTCACTTAAAAATGAAAAACAAGGTTCCTTATAAGTTTTATTAATGTACAATCAAAAGTATTTAAAATACATGCCTATGCATGATTATTTTTGCATGCATTTAAAATTTAAATGTTGTCAAAATTTTCAAACTATTTTTCAGTTAGAAATTCACAAAAGTGTACTTAAGATGACGCCACACGGATATTTGTTGTCTCCGCCTTACAAGTGCTTAACATAACAAATTTACGCTCAGCAGATCACGTTTAGCTCCATTAAAAACTATAGTGAATCGACGTATTATGAAAATTAATGGTAAGAACATTATCTGTGTTTGTACGTGGGTTTCTTACAATAACTCACTTATTAAGAGGACGCTATACCCACTGCGTTCTCTCCGTCTTACAAATGTACAACATAGCAAAAAATTGTTTTGCGCGGGATAGAATCACTCCCTCAGTACCTATTTATTATATTATAGTAGAATGACTATTATAGGGTGGTCCTTATTTTTTCAATGTGATTTTTTTTAACACAGTACCCCCTTAATTTGTTAAGTTATATGAGTAAGTCATTTGGGTAAAATTTGGATGATCTCACTCAACCCCTTCTGGTGCCGCATTAGGGTTGAAATTTGGAAAAGAGGGTAGTTTTTTGTTTTTTTTATTTAATTCAGAAGGTATTGTATTTAACGAAAACATGTAAAGAACTAAATTATAGATTTTAGCATTGTCTATAAAAAAAGCATATTACGTAAATTCTCGTAAGTCCATTTATTTTTAAGAAAACTTATTAATTTACAAAATATTATATATATCTAACAAAATTGCATTTTTTTGGTTTTTTAAATACATACAACGTACGGTTGGATATATGACAAAATATGATGAATAATAATAATACGGAATTAAATAATATAAAAAAAAGATTATATCTAAAAAAGTCTTAAGATTCTGTAATATACGTTTTGGTTTTATTTACTTGATTTTCTTTAATTTTTACAACATAAAAAAATAATTAAAAATAGGTATTATTTTTTTTCATCGAATTGTAGGTATAGTAAATTAATGCCACCTAAAATGGTTTCTTCAGCGGTTGTCTGTCACTTTGCGGATATTTTTTCCGGTAATCTTGAACAGTCTAGAAAATATAATAACATTTATAAGTTTAATTTATTTTTGAAATAGTACAATAAATTACCTGTAATACATGTTGTTTTTGTTCTTCATTTTTTGTAAATTTCTTGTTATATTCTTCTATAAGCTTGACTCCCCTCTCAGCTGTGTCATTCACGACTTTTAGTGAGTTTATAATGTTTTTTCTTATTATGTAGTCCTCGTGATTATTCCAATTGGCCGGATCAATAGTTAAAAACTGTGTGGAAATTTGAAATCTCTTGAACATTCCAATCGATTTAGAGTTTATTAAGTCAATTAAAAGATCTTTTTGTATAAAATGTGAAACATCTTAAAATTTAAGTCCTATATTTTTTTCAACTCGATTTCTTCCTCTTCATCGTTTATGCTTGAATCGTAAGTACTCAATATTCTCTCAGCCATTTTGAGTTTCGTACTGTGATCTACACGATCGTCAAATATCGAAAATGTAACACACTCTGGATCTAAATACCACAAATGATTTATTATTTTTTTTTAATTCTACGTCTGCAACTCTTTTATTATGCAATTTATATTCTTCTAATTTTTTTAAAAATAAAATGTCATTAAGCGGAGTTTCAATTGCATTGGGTGACGAAAACCAAGCCTGAACGTAACATTTAACTATAAAACAACAAATATCTTTTAATGCCTTTTCTTCTTTGCTATTTAGTTTAAATTGATCTTTAAAATATATAGCTTTAAAGAATAAATGGCCTTAGCCATCCATCTGGCTAAATGGTATGGACCAGGCCACCTAAAAGCAATTCCTCGAGGTGGAACACCGCCTAAAAATATAATAACGAGTTCTAAAAATTCTTGGTAATCATCTCGAGGAAGACTATCGGTAATTTTTTTTTTCCATATAATATAATTTCATCAGCGTCATTTTTTATAATATTTTGAATATAGATATCAGAAAGTGAAGTGGAAAATTTACTTTTATCAATATTTTCCCACGCATGTTGAAATCTTTTAAAAAGTAATATATCTGGTCCTGTCATGGGAAATAACTTTACTTCTAAAAATACACCTTGTAAAACAAGTTCAAAAATGTGATGTCGGCACGCCAAAAATAAAATTTATCTTTCTAAACTTTGTTCTAATAGTACGCATGTCCCATTCAACCTCCCTGTGTTAGAAAGTATTTTTGAATCCCAATGGATCTCAACATAATTTAAATTTTTTCGTGAAATTTGGAAGTAATATTTTCTGATATTTTTTGTCGATAGTCTTCACGGGACTTTTTAATTGATTTTCGGTTTATAACATAAATACTGGGATCTAAAGACAGGGCTTCTACACAAGCAGTTAACAAATGAACAGCATCTCTATCACTTATTTTGCATCTATCAAGAGTGGCTGATAATCTGGGTGTTAAAAGTTCTATCCTACCTCTTTTATTTCTTGATGAAGCTGGGACTGGAGATAACTGTTCAATTACTTCATCTTCATTTTCTGTTTCTTCAAAACTTGACGTAGACGAAGAAATTGAATACTGTTCTAAATTATGCATAAATTATTAATATATATTATCACAATTTTAAAATTTATATTTTAATTATTTTATAGTTATACATTACCTGTTACTGATGTTTCTGTAAGCTTTTTATTTTTAATTTCGTTTTTAATTAGTTTCTTTTGTTCAGCTCCCGTTAACTTCATATCCACACCCATCATACAACCTGGACGACCTGATTTTCGTTGGAGTTGTAAAAAATCTTTATCTTCCTGTATTTTTATTAGATCAATAGCATTAGCATGAGCAATATCGAATAAATTGTTTTATTCATCTTCAAAGTCTCTTTCTCTTTTTCTGCACAAATCGCTCTTCCTAGTTTTACTTTTTTCCAATGTTCTAAGTTCGTCATATAATTTTTTTCAATTTTTTTATAATATTGGATGGGTCTTGAGTAGGTATTGACCAAAATTCCACAACGCATAGATAACTACTTTATCTGTGTAGTAGCATTTTTATTTCTTTGATAGCATTTACCCATAATTTTTACTAATAAAATGAAAAAAACCAAAAAAATCCTAATGGTCTCAAACTGATAACTTTAATTGTATTTATGTTATCCAAATAATAAAAACGTAATGACACAGATAAAGTTGTTCCCTATGCGTTGTGAAATTTTGGTAATTCTAGTATAAATACAGCGGGAGTAGTTCTATCCCGCGCAAAACAGTTTTTTACTATGTTGTACATATCTTGTAAGACGGAGATAACGCGTGGGGGTATAGTGTCCTCTTAAGTGAGTTATGAGTATTTTTAATTTACGCTTTATTATATACACATAACTTGCTAAAAAAATTAACTATAGTAAAAAAAAACACATACAAACATAGATAATGTTCATAACATCAAGTTTCATAATAGGTCGATTCACTAGTTTTTACGGAGCTAAACGTGATCTGCTGAACGTAAATTTGCTATGTACCGCACTTGTAAGGCGGAGACAACAAATATCCTTGTAGCGTCATCTTAAGTAAATTTTTATGAATTTCTAACTGAAAAATAGTTTAAACATTTTGACAACATTTAAATTTTAAATGCATGCAAAAATAATCTTAGAGAAGATAATAATCTTAGTAGACTTCCTCTTAAACGGAATTTTAATTTTTTACGAGCGTTTTATAATTTATACGATATTTGATACTCGGCGATTAATTATCGAATTCTCATTAATCGATTTTTAATATTTTATTGTATTTCCAAAACAAATAACCGTAGACTCTTGAAATGTTCACCAAATATTTAAATTAGAATTTTCCATAGATGGTAATGATATTTTTTTCAAATGTTGTATATTATTTTTCAGTTATAAATTCATAAAAGTTTTTTTTCTCATAGCCAACATAAGAAATTTTAATAGAAGGTTCCCAACAAGTTTTTTTACCTCTATCAAAAATAAAAAGTTCAAGCTATTTATTTTTATTAGATTCTTCTCGGTTTTTATTAATTTTTTTTTATCAACTATTAATTATGATTATTTATACAAGTATGTTAGGCTGACACAATAAGTCCGCCCAGAATAATTTTTCGTATACAATGAATCATTGAATTCAAATATAACATGCTAGATACAACTAGGTAACAACTAGGTACTGTACAGCAGAGCGGTACCAACCCACTTGTAAACCTTTTTTTATTCGTCAATTAATCAAGTGTTTAAAAGTATATTTAAAAAATCAAAAATGTCATTAATTAAACCTTAAATTTAACTTTTGACTTCAATGAATGTAGTCTTTTTTTCATTACTTTATCTCTAGATATTTTATAATTAAGCTCCAAAAGCCATGAACTGACAAAACCTGGGACTCGAACAAAACAATAAAGGCAACTGATTCATTGCAATTACTATTTACATAGCCAGTGCTGGTGAATTTGTTTTATTTTTTCATAATTATGGCCACGATCACTATTAGATTCAAATTTTTTAGAAGTACTACGATGTTTTCTAGCTTTTCATTCTGCATTATTTTTTCTAAAGTCGAGGAAGATGTAGCAGTATGCCAGTATTATTCACTATAATTATATCACTATGATTGATGGAAGTTGTTTATTCGCGAATTCTATGTAGAAACTGGTTTAAGATAGGGGCTCCCCTATGCTATTCAATATAGCTCTAGAGTATTTAGTGAGAGCTGTCCTACAATTTAACACATTGGTTAAAATCCAGGAAAATAGTGAAATAATATAGCGACATATGCAGATAATATTATGATCACAGCTAAATCAGAAGCAGATCTAAAAACGACAACTTTGAACCTTAAAGAAAAAACTAAAAAGTAAGGATATGGGATGAATAATCAATGAAAGCAAAACAAAATACATGATATTATCACGCTGAATCCATAATCAAACAGAATGACCGACTTGCTAGACACTCAAGCACGGGTTTGGATTTTACATTTTTTACGTACGAAAAAGAACCGGACATGCGTAGCAGATAGCATAGAACTCTATCCGGATTGCTTATTCTAGTTTCATCTTAGACGCGCGACATCTTGATTTAATCATGGCCTATCCATTCTTATATTATCTATGGTAGAACCACATGTAACATCGTTACTTATCAATACTATATAACATAAATATTCACCTCTTATTCCGAAATCGGCTATCTAGTTTTTTTATATATATGTATTAATGTATTTCCAAGTCGGTTACCTATCTAGTATTTTTATATGTCTGTGGGTACATCCGATATCACTCGCAATTTATATCACCGGAGTTAAATGACACACTCATACACAATAAAAGTCAGACCTATCATCGATAATGATGTCTTCAACACGTAGTACGCGTTTATAATGCAATAACTCTATCAATAATATATGATCTAAGCTTTTACCCAATACTATAAATTAGAATATGGAAAGCTCAGTAGAAACCTTCAATGTTAGAGACATGGCAATTCAAAATGTATGTGATTGCCTATTCAGTATTTCTCCTTATCACTTTTGTGTACACGATAGACGATAACTAATACAAATTATTTGGCTCAATAAATCATATAATACTAAATGCTATAGAATAATTAACTATATAAAATATCATAGATTACTATTTTTAACGGTTTACATTTGTACATTTATTGTATAGAATCTGGAAAGTAGCAAAACAATAATTGAATCATAATTTATCAATGAGATCAGTATGACAGTGTGACATTTCGTTTGTCATTTATTGTTTTATATCTTACCAAAAGTATCTTCTAGATGTACCCATGGCTAAATATATAGGTATGATCGCATTGAGACGCATTTTTGTTATGGGTTGCGCACGTACAATTATTGCTCGTTTCAGCTGGCAGTGATTTTTAGATTTTTTTAACCATGAAATTAATAATTTGTAATGTTTTGTTAACAAATAAATCGAAGTGATAATATTCACTGCCAGTGGCGGCCATGACATCTGCGTATCAAAAAATTGCGATCTTACCTATATATTTAGCCATGGATATACCATTGTACCTACTTAAATAATTTATTTAACAGTTAATATATATTTTTTAAATTGTTCTTTTTTATAATTTACATATTTAAAAATATTTAACTTTCGTACTGTGGTTTCTTACAATAATACATAAAAACTAGAAACAAAACATGAAACAAACCTTGTTCTAGAAAATCAGTTTTAAAATCCATACATCCATACAGGTTTTGATTCATTGTACGTTTTATTACAAACTACTTACATATTTATATATTTTAACACTATAAGTACTTATAGATTAGGTACCTACTATTTATTATAGTACCTACCTAATAAACTTGATTTGAAAATCAGAAAAAAGTTTAGTTGTTCTATTGTTGACGTAATGAACATAACATGTACAATAAATTACAAATTTAAACAGCTAAAATTAATTATTCATCAAGCACTAACAACTTAC